CCTCCACACCTGATGTGGGGTCCATCCCAGGACCCTGGGATCATGACCTGAGCTGAAGGCAAGTGCTCAACTAGCTGAGCCACCCAGACACCCCTCTTGTTTTGTTTTTTAATTTTAGTTTTCCCTTGGCTGTTTAAGGGAATAATGTAGCAGTTTATCAGGAAATCCCTGAGTCTTGTCAACTCTGAGAGGAGCTCATACGGGGGCCCCTCCTTTGAAGGTACATATGGGGATGCCTGTAAGATCATAGACTTGGTTGACTTTGTTCACGGTCATGTAAAGTTACTTCAGAGAGAGGATAACTAGAATGAGCACTCAGATAAAGGAGGATGGGGAAGCAGCAGGGGATTGCCTCAGTTCTATAGCCTTTTGTTTTAGGTACCTCTTTTGTTTTTAATTTTTCATTAGTCTTTTACAATAAATATTTTAGTGGAGCTCTTTTGCCATTTTGAAACCATTTGGAGGCTTCTGCATACCAATTAAAATTATGTATCACATTCTGTTTGTTTAATTTGGGAATCCTTACTTTTAACTGCACTTCTTAAATGAGCTGATATAATTGGAACATTACTCAAAATGGCCACTGTAATTCTAGCTTGTCGTTAGTACGATTTTGCCATTTTTGTAGATATTTATAGCTTTTGGGACCAACAGTTCTTAGACATAAAATAAGCAAGTGTGCCAGATGGTGGCACAGTTCACTCTTCAGAAATTACGGATCCTATCTTTATCTTTATTATTATTTATTATTTATTTTTTCGCTTGGCCTTTGAGTTTCTCAGAGCGAGATTAATACCTAAGAGGGATATGCTGTGGGGTTGGGGTTGTGTGGTGTCTCATGCTACACCTCATCATACAGAATTTTTCTTGAGGTTGGCAGGTGACCTAGTGTCAACCCTAATGGTTCTGTGACTAGCTTGTCCTTACTCAGATGTTTTTGGGCTAAGTGGTGAGCACTCTTAACAGCTTTTAAATGCTTGACTCGTGCTTACCAATTTTTGTGGCTTCTTTGGCCTCCCCAATTCCCATGAGCAGTTCACCTTTCCATCATGTGCACATTCGCAGCAACCAGTAGTAGTATCTGAGGAACCAAACCTGTGGACATCAGCTGTAACCAAAGAACTGGGGGCAGGGGAAAGTGTTGAGCCAGCAAACCTCAAAGAATGGGGCCTGTAGACTGATTCCAAACAAATGAGAACTGCACCTGCTCCCGACAGACATGGAATCTGGGGAAGGATTCCCAGGGGAGAACGGCAGACTAAAACGCTGGCCCTTGCCAGTGTGGAATCTGAGAACAGAACCGAAATTCCGGGTTTGGAAGTTTCTGTGGAATGGCCAGTAGAAGGCCCTGTGTGCACTACCAGCAGTCCCTGTGGAGCCTTGGGCTGGGGAAAGGGTCGAACCAGCAGACCCCAGCAGATGGGGGTTGCAGATTGGGGGCTCCCCATGGTGCAGAACTGCACACTGCTTCCAACATTCCCCACATTGACCTTGGGATGAGATTAGGGGCTGGGGTTTTCCACTTAAAAAGCCTGGAATTGTGGACTGAAGAGGCAGTTAGTTCGAGGGCTTGATACAGAGAGCAGAGCACAGAACCAAGAGAGAACTTACCCATGGCACTCAGACATGGTGAGCGAGACCGTGAACTCAGAGTGTTTGTGGGGTACCATGCCCATGTTTCTCATTTTCCCTGGAGTCATCGGAAGTCTCCTTCAATCCCACCGCTGCCACCAAATCTGTTAAATAACAAAAAGACAACTGGTACATTTAAAGATCAAATTGGCTTCATTCAGCACCTCATGAATGGGGCAGCTTCCCATCTAGCAAATAGTGTAGAAAGGAACTTCATTGAGCAGCAGAAAAGGAAAGGTTTTTAAAGGCAGAGAGGGAGAGGAAAAAGGAAATTATTCCCCCAAACTGCATTGTTTTAAGCAAGGTGACCTTCCTAGGGGGGAACAGAAAGGATCTATCAGCAGATTACCTCCTGATGCTGACAGGAAGTTCCATATTGCCTGGTTGAAGACCCCATTGCTGGCCAAAGCTGAAGAAGCAGTTAGGGTAGGTCTTAGGTCTGGGTGGGGTTTAGCACACGTGACTCCATTCTGGGCCTACTGTCTCCTTTTTAATGGGGGTTAAGTGGTTAAATAAATGAACATTCCAACAATTCACAGGAAAGTACTGATGGTAAACATTTGGAAAAGATTTTCAAGCTTGCCAATCATTATTTCTAACCTAAAACAGTAAGGAAACTATATTTTCTATACATCAGGCTCAAAAGTGAGGAAAAAAATTAAAAGTCCAAAAATCACTGGCCCAGCTTCTGGGGTTTACCCTCAGCAGACTGGTCACAGAGGTCAGGTGCTGGTCAGACTGCCCGCAGCGTTAAGTCCTGGTGGCTGGTGGGTGACTTGAGGCAAGTTGTTTGACCTCTCCAGGCCTCAGATTCCTCATCCAGAAAATGGAGACATCAGGAGCTATTTCATGGGGCTGTTGGAGCCTGGTGCACATTCAGGTGTGTAATTTGTATCACCTGGGAGCACAAGTCACCACAGGTGTCATCGTAAATCGGCACAGCTCAATTGGAGAGGAACTTGGCGATACATAGCAAAAGCTATTTAAAAGGCTATAAAATTTCACTCCTGGAAGTTAAGGACCTATGTCAAAAGGAGAACATGTTAATTTTAGATGTATATAGCATCACTTCTTAAAATGGGAAGGAATTGGAAATGAAGTTACATGAAAAAAGCGGAAACAACGGTGGAAAATATTTAACCATGTATCCCTAACCCCAGTGAAGCTCTGCGTTGGTTGGATGTGGCCTGGACGTTATAATTATCATGTGTTGAACCGTTGCTTCATTTCAGATTCTGCGCCAACCACATTACGTATATTATCAACCGTAGCCTTCCCAACAGTCCTATGAAGTACACACTATTAGAATTTGAGATACTGTGATTTATATGAAGAAATATATATTTGGTCTTCATTCCCGTTTCTTGCACAGGACTGCTAAACCCCTTGGAATTTCCTCAGTGAGGAGAGCAGCCAAGGTGTCTTTGTTATGTTCATGAGGTGATCTTTGCAAGGCACCTAAGGATGGGGCTGGTCGCCAGGAGAACCGACCCTGTGATTACAGGGTTGGAGCTCAGTCCCACAACCAGCTTCTGGGGAGGAGGGAGGGACTGGGGGTTGAATCAGGCACTAATGACCAATGATTTAATCAATTGCCCATGTAATGAAGCCTCCATAAAAACTCAAAGGATGGGGTTCAGAGAGCTTCTGGGTTGGTGAACAATTGGAGATCTGGAGAGAGTAGTGGCCTGGGAGAGGACATGGCAGCTCTGCGCCCTTTCCCCTTATCTTGCCTTATGCATCTCTTCCATCTGGCTGTTCCTGAGCTTTATCATTTTATAATATACCAGTAGTCTACTAGTAAAATGTTTCTCTGAGTTCTCTGAGCCGCTCTAGCAAATTAATCGAAACTGAGGAGGGGGTTGTGGGAACCTCCAGTCTCTAACTGGTCGGTCAGAAGCACGGGTGGTAACCTGCACTGGTGACTGGCTTCTGAAGGTGGTGGCGGACTTGTGGGACTCTTGAGGGACTGAGCCCCTGTCTGTGGGATCTTACACTGTCTCCAGGTGGAGAGTGTCAGAACTGAGTTGAATTGTAGGATGCCCAGCTGGTGATGTGGGAACCTTCGCCCCTCAATAGAAATTGAGTGCAGAACCTCTAGACTCTTAATTTATTGGTGAGGAAACTGAGACAGGGTGGAATTCAAATTCACATTGTTGTAACTTGGAGTCCAGACACTTAACCCGCCATGTTTTATCTCTGGTCCCAAACACTGCTTCTACTAGAAGAAGCTCTTCAGAAGAGTAACAACAGAAAAAGTGATGGGTATAACTTTGTTTAGTCTAGAGAGGGAAAAGATTTTCAATAGATTATTAAGAGTTATATATTGTTGGGGTGCCTGGGTGGTGCAGTTGGTTAAGTGTCCGACTCTTGGTTTTGGCTCAGGCCATGATCTCAGAGTCCTGGGATTGAGCCCCTCGTCTGGCTCCCTGCTCGGTGTAGGGTCTGCTTGAGATTCTTTCCCTCTGCCCCTTCCACTCATGCTCTCTCTCTCTCTCAGATAAATAAATAAATTTAAAAAAAGAGAATTATATATTGTGGGTTTTGTCTTTACAGAGAGCTAAATAAGGGTAAATTCAGGTAAACTTTAAAATGAGGGATTTAGGGGCGCCTGGGTGGCTCAGTTGGTTAAGTGTCTGCCTTCGGCTCGGGTCATGTTCCCAGGGTCCTGGGATCGAGCCCCACATCGGGCTCCTGGCTCAGTGGAGAGCCTGCTTCTCCCTCTCCCTCCACCTCTCTCCCTGCTCATGCTCTCTCTCTGTATTTCAAATGAATAAATAAAATCTTTAAATAAAATAAAATGAGGAATTTAGACTGGCCACGGAGAAGAATTTTCCGAATTAACCAATTAACTGTTCACATGAGTTTCCAGGGAGCCCTGAAGGAAGCTTTCATATTACAAAATAAAAGAGGCTAGATTAGGGGCGCCTAGGTGGCTGAGTCGGTTAAACGTCTGCCTTCAGCTCAGGTCATGATCCCAGCATCCTGGGATTGAGCCCTGCGTCGGGCTCCCTGCTCAGTGAGGAATCTGCTTCTCCCTCTTAAAAAAAAAGAGCTTAGATTATTACCTGTCTCATTGTGTTATTAAATAGTTTCTCTTTCCCTCTCTCTCTTTCTCTTTTCTGGCCTGGAAGCTAGAGGGCAAATTAATTTCTCTTTCATATAATAATATAAATGGGGATGTTGGTCTAAATGAAATATTTTGCTTTCACTTTACCCAATAGTAGTTCTCTTTGTTTGCCTACCAAGTCAACAGGTGAAATTTAGAATGTTCACGGTCGTGGTCTTCAGGTCATCAAAAGAGCATCTAGTAAAGTGGTGAGCTCTAAGCCTAGGGAATACAAAGCAGCAGGTCTTTCTCCCTTCAGACTGAAGCTCATCGTCTCTTCTTACTTGAAATCTGCTGTGGAAACCAGAAGGAGATTCAGAAGTCAAGCCCAAGTGATATAAGACAGAGCTTCTCAACTTTAAAGGGTGTGCAAATCCCTGTAGAGCCCTGCTGACCGGGCATCCTGGCATCTCCTGAGCCGCACTCAGAATGGAGTAACATGGTCCAGGGAAGTTCGGGCTTTGGACCCACACAAACTGGGTACACACAGTGATTTCACAGAACTCTGGCCGTGCACAATGATCAAATCCTTTTGAGTCTTAATTTCTTCATCTGCAAAATGGAGAAAATACCAGCTCATGAGATTGGCATATTGTCAAATAGAAGATATGTGAAACTAGTAAATTCAGTGCCCCTCACACTTTAGAATGTGATGAACATAAACTCCCAAATGGTCCGTTTACACACAGGGTGTGAATGGTGTTAACTGAATCCTTGTCTGTGGTAGAGGCATGTGTGCAAAAGGGCACGTGTGTGTGTGTGTGCGTGCGCACGTGTGCATGGCCGTGCAGTCTTGTGGTAAGGGACGAGAGGCTGCAGAGCCCCTGAGTGCAGGCCTTTGAGAAGCACGCCTGTGAGACCATTGTTCACACAGGTGCTCTTTGTCTCTAATGTGTCTTCCAGATGCTTTGTCTGTTGTTTAAAAACTTTTTTTTCCTAATTCTTACCAGACTTAGATAAAAAAAAGCATGTAGACCTGAAGATGGACCAGGCTTTGCTGCTCATCCACAATGAACTACATGGAACAAACCTGACTGTCTTCTGGAATTCCGAATGCTGCTATCACGTAGGTATTATGTTCATGCTCACAATTTTGTTTGCTTTGGGGCTGTTTGAAATGATCCTTAATGCTCTCATACCTGAAGCCCTTCACATGTTCACTTCAGTTTTATTTTTTTTAAAGATTTTATTTATTTATTTGAGAGAGAGAATGAGAGACAGAGAGCATGAGAGGGAGGAGGGTCAGAGGGAGAAGCAGACTCCCTGCCGAGCAGGGAGCCTGATGCGGGACTCGATCCTGTGACTCCAGGATCATGACCTGAGCCGAAGGCAGTCGCTTAACCAACTGAGCCACCCAGGCGCCCTCACTTCAGTTTTATAGGTAAGGAAACAAATAGGCTGTAGAAAGAATCAGAAGACATAATCAGGGAGAATACCTAGCAGTGAGCAACATCAGTCTCTTACATTTTCCCCTCCCCATCTTTTAAAAACTCAGTTCTTGGTGATGAGTGAAAGCAATGTTTTATTTTACTCCTCTGCCTGATGCATAACCCCATTGCTGGACCAGAGAAAGAAGGAGTGAGACACCTGGGTATTCTCCAAGGGCAAAGGTAGTGAGGACCACCGGCAGGCTCAGGTTGAGGTATGGCACTTATTCCAGGGATCTGCCCTCCTGATGATAAAGGATGTATTTATTTTTATTAAGTTTTAAATTTTAATTCCAGTACAGTTAACATACAGTGTTAATATTAGTTTCAGGTGTACAATGTAGTGATTCAACAATTCTTTCTTTTTTTTTTAAAGATTCCATCTATTTACTTAACAGAGAGATAGAGCACAAGTAGGCAGAGTGGCAGGCAGAGGGAGAGGGAGAAGCAGGCTCTCCGCTGAGCAGGGAGCCCGATGCGGGGCTCGATCCCAGGACTCTGAGATCATGACTTGAGCCGAAGGCAGCCGCTTAACTGTGAGCCACCCAGGCGCCCCCGATTCAACAATTCTATACATTACTCAGTGCTCATGAAGTGTACTCTTAATCCCCATTGCCTATTTCCCCCATCCCCCAACTCATCTGCCCTCTGGTAACCATCAGTTTGTTCTCTATAGTTAAGAGTCTGTTTCTGGTTTTTGCATCTCTTTTTTTTTTTCTCCTTTGCTTGCTGATTGATAAAGGATTTATTTTAACTGAAGGTACAACTCCTAGACCTTGTTGCTTTTTAAGTACAAGGCTACTCTATGTAAAATAAAATATTCTCTATTTCCAAATTGAGCATTTGAATGTACTGCTTTCAGAGGAGGAATTTTTATTTAATTAATTTATTTTAAAATTGTTATTTATGTAATTTTTTTAATAGGGGGAGGGGCAGAGAATCTTAAGCAGGCTCCACACCCAGTATGGAGCCAGAGGCGGGGCTTGATCTCACAACCCTGAGATCATGACCTGAGCCTAAATCAAGAGTCAGATGCCCAACCAACTGAGCCACCCAGGCTTCCCCACGGGAGCAATTTTAATGTATAGAGTGTCCCTCAATGGGTTACATCCCACTGTAAATTGAAAATACTGTAAGATGAAAATGCATTTAAAACACCTGACCTACTGAACATCATAGCTTAGTCTAGCCTACCTTAAATGCTCTCAGAATACTTACACTAGCCTATGGCGTGTCCGTTGTTAACCCTCATGATTGCATGGCTGGCTGGGAGCTTTGGCTTGCCACTACCATCCACCATCATGAAGGAGGGTCCTGCTGCATATATCTAGCCCAGGAAAAGATGAAAATTCAGAATTCCAAGTAAATTTCTACTGAATGCATATCGCTTTCATATGGTCATAAAGCTGAAAAACCGTAAGTCGAATCCCTATCAGTCAGGGACTGTCTGTATAGGGACCTGTTTACTGTAAATAGCTTTAAAAAGCAAACAAAAGAATCCCCAGTATGGGTACCAACTGAAGAGGTGATGAAGCAATACGTGATCCCTCCTCTATTTCATTAAGCCCATTGAGAGCTCTATAAAGTAACATGAAGCCAAGAAAATCTATAATGTTTAAAAAATAGCAAAGACAAAGAAAAGATATATCAGCCTATGAGAAGGACTTAAAAAGAAACCTGAAAAAAAAATCAACATTACTGAATTTCAAAGCTGCAGGTAATTCAGAGAATGAGCAAAATGTCTTCTAAAAAGACAATAATGGCCTAAAATTTATGGAAAAACAAGTTGAGGGGGAAAAAAGAGTGCATTGCCAGGGTATTAGCCATAGGTCAAGTAAAGCATCTTTAGAATAAAAAAAAGTTAAATCATTGGTACAAAACAGTGATGCTGGTGACAGAATCAAAAAACAGAAGAATTAGCTACATGAGACTAGTTCAGGAAAAATATTACTAATTTATTTAAAAGAGCATGTGGGCGCCTGAATGGCTCAGTTGGTTAAGCGTCGGACTCTTGATTTTGGCTCAGGTCATGATCTCAGGGTTGTGAGATCGGCCCGTATAGGGCTTCATGCTCAGCGGGGAGTCTGCTTGAGATTCTTTCCGTCTGCCCCTCCCCACTGCATGCATGTTCGCTCTTTCTCCCTCTCTCAAATAAATAAATAAATCTTTACCAAAAAAATAAAAGAGTACGGAGATAATTATGTTTTAGGAAAATGAGTAAAGGAGTGATAGAGTTTGCACTTAAACGTAGTTGTAGAAAATGTTCCACAGTTGCAGAAAAGACCTTAGCCTGGAAACTGGAAAGACACTTATGAGCCTGTAAAGGTTAAACAACCAGAAAATGCTATCAAGACATAACCTTTTAACAATTCTGAACATTAATGATAATTTAAAAATCTTTAAGCAAATATAGAGACAGACATTCAAAGGAATGCAAATTATAATAATTTGTGTTCTGTAAACTGAATAAATATCTGAGAACGGTGGACTTACAGGTGAAGGAAATCAGTTATCTGGTTAAATTGAGAATTCCCTTTCCTCTTTATCTCTCTTTCCTTAAAGTAGAAACACTTAAGGTACATACACATGTAAAACACATAAACATTGAAAAAATGTGTCGATTTCATAACTTCAAGACAGCCAAAGATACCTATAATATGTCAGCAAGTGCTTTTGAAAAGAGAGCCAAAATTGGAGGAAGGTTAGTATTGTAATGTTAACTATGAGTAATCATTATAACTGACTAAATAAAAGTAAGATGTAAATGAGAAAAGAAAAAAGAAAAAAAAAATTGCTGTTTAGCCTTCTGAACAGTATTCCTCAGGGGCTCTGGAGGTGGCAAGAAGAAGGGAGAAGCAGAGAGTGGGAGACAGGAATCCTGGGCTTTCATTGCTGTGAAGGTGATCTGTTACTTTTGACTGTTAATTATTTTCAGACATAAATTAGAATAAACAAGGCCATTTCATTTTTTTTAAGTAGACTTGCTCTAAGTATGATAAACATAATAATTAATATTACTGTATCTTTAAAATATTATTAAAAAAGAATATACATTATGGAAAATATATAAATGACCAAAGAAGACAATAAAAGTAGAGGAAGGAATTCAGGGTGAGCATCAAATTGCAACAAATACAAATGGATTAACTTGCATAAAAATAAGACTCATTTGTATTAAAATATTGTGAATAATTTCAAATTTTGGAAAAAGGAAATTTATACATAACTACATTGACTAATAACATATTAAATACTAAAATATGAGACTATTGTACTTAAAAAGAATACATTGAAAACAAAAAGACATACTGTTCTTTCATGAGGTATATGTAGGGAATAAAGGGGGCCAGTCAGGCATTAGCATTTGCATAAATAATAAATGAAATGTTAATACTAAAACAGAAGCACACCAAATGAAAAGGTTCAGAATTAAGATGGGCCCCTACAATACATAGAAAGTAATGGTAGGGGGCATCTGGGTGGTGCAGACCATTAAGCAAGAGACTCTTGGTTTTGGCTCAGGTCACCGTCTCAGGGTAGTGAGATAGAGCCCTGCATCAGGCTCTGCACTCAGTGTGGAGTCTGCTTGAGATTCTCTCTCCCTCTTCCTCTGCCCCTCTTGCTCATGCTCTCTGTCTCTCTCTAAAATAATAAATAAGCAACTGAGCCACGCTGACTCTTGATTTTGGCTCAGGTCATGATTTCAGGGTCCTGGGATTGAGCCCCACATCTGGTTCCCTGCTCAGCTGGGAGTCTGCTTGTGGATTCTCTCACTCCTTTCCCTCTGTCCCTCCCCATGCTCTCTATCTCTAAAATAAATAAATAAATCTTTAAAAAAAACTGATGTTAGAAATTACAGAACAAAACTGTGGTAAGAAATAAGCATTCACTATCATCAGACTGTGATAGGTCAAGCTCATTAGGGTTTAAGGATTAAACTGGTAAACTGAACCAGTCCAGAAAGTGGTAGAATGGACTGGTTAAGAGCAGAGTGCCTGCTTTGAATCCTGCCTCTGTCACTTCCTGCCTGTGAAAATGATAGAAAAATTAAAAGGAGTCAAGAGATGATTTTGTTTTGTTTTGTTTTTTTTAAGTAGGCTCCATGCCCAGTGTGGAGCCCAGTGTGGGGCTTGAACTTACAACCCTGAGATCAAGACCTGAGCTGAGATTAAGAGTCAGATACTTAACCAATTGAGCCTACTTGATGAAAAGGAAAGCACTAGAATGGGGAAATATTTGAGATGGTTAAAAGTTTAATATTGCAATATGTGAAGACATATTTCTAAGATTATGTTCAAGGGGATTTTGTATCTAAGAGATGGTTCACACCATAAGGCATATAAAATAACAAAAAAATATTGAATTATTTAATCCGATAATTTAAAATGTAATCTTAACACTGTGATATCATAAATATTTAGTATGTGAACAAAAAGAGGAATGATTTTTAAATCCTGGTAAGTCTAATGAGAAACAAATGTACTGTAATTTTTCTTATTGAGGACTCTTCGGCCACATATAACAAGAACCATTAAAATGATTTTTTTAAAAAGATTTATTTATTTATTTGAGGGGGAGCTTAGAGGGAGAGGGAGAGAGAAACCCCAAGCGGACTGCACTGAGTGCAGAGCCCAACACGGCGCTTGATCCCATGACCCTGAGATTACGACCTGAGCGGAAACCAAGAGTTAGACGCTTAACAGGCTATACCACCCAGGCGCCCCAATAAAATGATTATTTTTTATCCAGTAACCTCATTTTTGGAAATGTATTTTAGGGAAAGAATTTAAAGGAATAAGAACATCATGTGTAGATCTTTGAAAACAAGATAATTTATATAAATTATATATAATTATATGTATTATATATAATATAATTTATATATATAATTATATATATGATGTCTTTATAAACATAATTTATATAAATGATACACAAAAAGATAAAACAAAAAAGCTTTGAAAGCAGCCTAAATACTCACAATTTTAGTATTTAATGGATTATAATGCAACCATTAAAAATTCAAATAAATAAATAAAATCTTAAAAAAGAAAAAGAAAATCTGTCAGTCTGAGCCTCCCCATTAGATAAGATAATAAATCCCAGTGGCATTAATAAGTACTGTTCACAGGGAAGCTTTTGAAGAAATCATGGAAATTTACTTGTATGTAATATGTAAAACAGTGGAATACAAGACAGTATATGCTATTTGTTCATTATGTGAAAAATTTACATATAGTGATATAGGCAAATTTTACCTAAGTTATTGGAATTTAAGTTTTTTTATAAGGATGAAGGAAAAGTCATCTCAAGAGTTCAGGGGGATACTCATGTGCACCAACAAGCAGTGGCCTTTCAGACACCTCTGACAGTTGCTTGTGTTTCTGTTGTACAGTGCTTGTTTCAGGTTCTGGTAAATGTTTCCTGGAGTGGGAGACCCGGGAAGCCTAGCATTGCCGTGGGGGCGGTGAGCACCCAGCATGGATCGCTCCTGCAGCTTAATGACACCTTGGAAGAGAAAGAAGTTTGTAGGTTTGTACCTGCTTTGATGTGACTACTGACGCCTGCAGTTTCTGTCTGGTTGTTCCCTATTTGATTTTTAGCTTTTCCTTCCTTCAAAACATTTTTTTAGGGGCACCTGGGTGGCTCAGTCGTTAAGCATCTGCCTTCGGCTCAGGTCATGATCCCAGGGTCCTGGGATCAAGCCCCGCATCAGGCTCCCTGCTCAGCGGGAAGCCTGCTTCTCCCTCTCCCACTCCCCCTGCTTGTGTTCCCTCTCTGGCTGTGTCTCTCTCTGTCAAATAAATAAATAAAATCTTAAAAAAACAAACAAACAAAAAAGCAAAACCCATTTTTTTATATCTTTCCCAGTCTGCCCTCAGGAATGCCTGTCACTCTGCCTTGATGACATTACCATAATCCAACTCCTTATGTCCTAATCTAGCCATTTTTCTTAATTTTACCATGTCTTTATAGGCTGGAATACAAATTTGGAGAATTTGGGAACTATTCACTCTTGGTAAAGCACACCCATAATGCAGTCAATGAAATTACTTGTGACATCATTGTCAACAAGAATCCAATTGACAGTAACCTTCGTACGTATATGCTCTTTGTTGATTTTTTTTAAATTTGTGTTTTAAAGGTTTTAGTTTTTGAGTACTGTTTGCAACACTCTCTGTACTTTAAAACCTGGATTATCTATCTTATTTAGTTATGGTATATTTATAATGATTGTGTCATTGGTGTATACCAAGAAAATTATGTGATATATAAGAAAATTGTATGATCAACATATTCTCATAGATGTTATTTAGTTTAATTATGAAGCATAAATAAGCCAAAAAAAGTTAATGCAATAGAAAGAAACTAGAAATAGGGCAAATGACTGTCAAGTATCTTTCCTTGTTTTAGGATAGTATTCCCTGTATGGGTCTTACAGGGACAGCCCAGAAGTCCCTTAGATTAAGGACTGTTCATTCTTTAATAACTCCACTGAAGAATATCTGTCAGTCTGAGGGGTGCCTGGGTGGCTCAGTCAGTTAAGCGTCTGCCTTCAGCTAAGGTCATGATCCCAGGGTCTTGGGATCAAGCCCTGAATCAGGCTCCCTGGTCAGTGGGGAGCATGCTTCTCTCTCTCCCTCTGCCCCTCTCCCTGCTTGTGCTGTCTCTTGCTTTCAAATAAATAAATAAAATCTTAAAAAAGAAAAAGAAAATCTGTCAGTCTGAGCCTCCCCATTAGATAAGATGATAAATCCCAGTGGCATTAATAAGTACTGTTCACAGTGAAGCTTTTGAAGACCATAGGGTCATGTCAAAAGAATGGAAAAGCCAACCTGAAAGGGCCAACATGGGCCAGTTTAAGCATTAAAAAGAACAATGAATGTAATTGATGGAAACATATTGAATCTACAAAAACCAATGAGTCTCTTATGAAACTTAAAAGAAAGAGCCCCTTCCCTAAACAAAGACAATACTTTGGTGGGAAAGACACAGCACCATCTGTGAAGCATTCTTGCCCAAAGAAGTTGAACTTTGTTAGTCAAGCCTCTACAGCTAATTGCCCATTTGCAGAACATTTGGAGGATAGAACGAGTTAGTGACACCATGAGGAAGCTGACTGACAGATCTAGAACATGAGACGTCCTCATAGATGACTTGCTTCAAACAAATCAATGGTTGCTTATGTCTAAATGCAATTAAAGAGACATAACGAGCAAATAGAAAACGTGAACCTTGTTTGTATCCTGATCTGAACACACTAACTACAAAAAACATTTTTGAAATAACTAGAAAAATTGGAATATGGACTCTATTAGCCAGAGAGGAGTTGTTAATGACATGGTGATTATATAATAAAACCCATTTTATTTTATTTTTAAAGATTTTATTTATCTATTTGACAGACAGAGACACAGCGAGAGAAGGAACACAAGCAGGGGGAGTGGGCGAGGGAGAAGCAGGCTCCCCACGGAGCAGGGAGCCTGATGCGGGGCTCAAACCCAGGACTCTGGGATCATGTCCTGAGCCAAAGGCAGACACTTAACGACTGAGCCACTTAGGCGCCCCAATAAAACCCATTTTAAAGAAACTTTTAATTTTGAAATAATTTTAGACTTATAAGAAACATTGCAAAAAAGGAGCTTCCAGCTTCCCCTAAACCCCTAAACTATATAATCATAGTGCAGTTACCTATATATAATGATCAAAACCAGGACATAGTGCTATTAACTGATGTATAGGTTTTTCAGATTTCTCCCATTGTCCCTTCTAAGGCCAGTTCTTTGGTCCAGGATTCAGTCCAGGATCCCACAGCCCAATTAGTTGTCAGGTTCCTGCAGCCTTTCATTGTCTTTCATGACCTTGACACTTTTGAAGAGGACTGGCCGGTTATTTTGTCATTTGCACTTGCTCGCTGTTTCTTCACACCTAGATAGAGGGCATGCATTTTTGGTAGAAGACTCCAGAAGCCTCCTCAGTGGGCAACGTCAGGGGTTGCACGATGCCGACACATCTTCAGTATTTAGAGATACATACTGAAGATGGATGGAGGAAAGGACATGTCTGGGATTTGCTTAAAAATACTTCAGGCAAAGACACAGAGGCAGCGTAGCAACAGAAGAAGCAAGAGCGACAGTATCTTGATAATTCTAGAATCTGGGTGATGGGTATACTTGGGCTTATTATGCAAATCTCTGTTCTTTTGTGCATGTTTGATATTTTTCATGATGAAAATGAGCACTCCCCTAATGATGAATGTTCTCAAGCGTTTATAGGAAAGTTAGCAGAAGAATACAAGCTTTTTCCTCACTTGTTTTGTTTGCGTTTTTCATTTACAGATTAAATGTAGTGATGTGACAGCTTCGATGCTTAGGATGACATTTTGGTGATACGGTGTTTTCTTTTGATTTTTATAGCTGTGTGTATTGCGTTCCTTGTTGGTGTGGCACTCATCATTGCAGTATCCTTTCTGAGGTTCTTGTTGAGGTAAGCAGATGTTAGGGGAGGGCACAATTGGGGGAAGTAGAATATAGAAAAAATATATTCAGGAAGGCTGGTTTGACCCTTTCAGTGACCGTTATTCTTTGATTAAATAAATACTTACTGGGTCCACTATGCCTGGCCCAGCCTGGGGTATCAGGGATCGATGTAGAATAAGAGATGGTCCCTGACTTCAGGGAAATGATCACCTAGTTCGAATGGATCTTTGCCTTCAATCCTCCCCAATGGCTGAAAACAGAAGAAAATGCTTGAGAAGTCCTTTCCTGAAGGATCTCACAGCCTGCTTTTGCAGTGAGTGGGAGTGGCCTGGGCTGATCTCAGGAGGCAGCTGTGCATTGCTTTCCACCCCTCCTCCTGTCTGGCCCTGAGCCCTGAGGCCACCCCTCTGGTCCAGCTTCCCGGCTCCTGCCAGCTGGGCATCGGGCAGCAGAGATGGAGGATGGGGTGCCGGACCTCCAGACCTCAGCGTGTACTTGCTTTTCCCTGGTTGGGACTGGCAGCTTGGTGAGGGGATTCCTTCTCCTTTCTCTGCCTGGTTAACAGCGAGTCTGGTGAGAGTGAATGAATAGACTGGGAAACAAAAAGAAAGTCACATAGATCCAGGCCTGGCAGATCACCTTTCAAAGGAAAGTTTTTTCATGTTTTTAAAGAAGTAAGATTGATGCAATTTTCACGTGTTCAGCCTGTTAGGGTCTGGAGGGATCACAAGATTTTATGGGTGAGCCATATCCAAACTGGAAGGAAGAAAACCTAGTCTTTTAAGTCTGCTGCCTTGAGGGAACCTAGCAGCTTTGGGGAGTTCACGCAGTCTGACTCTCCCTTTGTGCATCCTAGAAATACAAGGGTCTGTAAGGATAAAAGGACTATTTCTTGCTCAGAAGCAGATTTTTAACCCAACTGCTTTTTAGAGGCAGAGTATAATTTCAGCAGAAGAGTTTGTTTGAATTAAGATATTATCTTGTCTGTCTTTTGATAGGATGCAAATATTATTCCAGTTTATTACAGTGTTTTCATTGGCTCCTTTTAATATCAGTGAATCTATGGCATCGCTTTCTAAAGTAATTGGTAGCTGATCTCGAGCTCTTGCAAAGGGAAGAAATCCCACCTCATTCCACTGTGGAACTGAAACTCCTCGTAGCGTGAGGTTCTGCCTCTGCAGCCTTGCAGGCAGGATGCTCTGCTGGCAAAGCAGGAGCCCTTGTCCCTTGCCCCAGCACTTTCCAGCTTGCCTCTGGAAGTCCAAGGATGTTCGGGTATGTCAGAACCGGAACAAAATCTGAGGCAGTAGTGAGAATACAGGATCTCTCTCCTTTTGCTGGGAGGACAAGCATGTACAAGAAAATTAAGTGCATTTCTAAAATTTCAATGTTTAAATATCTTACTTTCTCCTTTCTCCCTTCCTTAGATGTCTCCGTTTTAATATTGTTCATGTGATGGTGATGTTACCAGTGCTGAATAAAGTAGAAATAGGAGTGAGTTGTGGGGAATAAAGAGAAGAAATAAGAATATATGCATTAGATACGTGGGTGATGTTTAGAGACTGATTTGAACAATTAAACTGGAGAAAAAACTTACGAGACAGATTGAACCGGCTATTTGGTGATACTAAGGAATTATTGATAATATTTTAAAATGTAATAATGGAACTGCAGTTCTGTTAAAAAAAGAGGGGGCTGTTTATCTTTTAGAGCTACAAACAGCAGTAGTTATGGATTAAATAATATCATGCTTGGGATTCTTTAAAATAGTCAATCTAAGGCAGGCAAGGGGACAGGGGGTGGGAGTGTGGATGAAGTAAGATCCACCACACTTAAAGACACTTTAAAATGTTTAATTCTTTGACTTGTATAGAGTATGAACTTCAAATGAATCTTCTTTCAATACAGTATGCCATCATTTTGAAAATTCTGCCAAAGAAAATGAATTAACTGAGCTTTTTATTTATTTACAGTTTGGATGACTTTCATAATTGGATTTCTAAAGCAATTAATTCCCGGGAAACTGATCGCCTCATCAATTCTGTGAGTTATTAGAATGCATCATGTGTGCTCTGGGTGGTTTTCTAGATTTGGAATTTATAATTCCCTATTTAATAATCTTTATTATCTGGTTTAATTAATCTTATTTATATTGTGGAAGGCCAGGTCGGTCGTGTGTTCTGTATCCTTAATAAAGAGCAGGCAGCCTTCTCTTCAGCTTTGGTGAAGAGTACTGTCTCCTTCTCTTTCCTGGTGAGGTTGGAACTTCGGGTTGCATTATATGCACGGTGTGGAGACATTTTTCTCTCTGCAGGCAGCACTGTTGAATTGATCCAGTTAAGTAGAGAGTGTCAAGATAAAAACAAAAGAATAGAGCCATCAATATGAAATCTACAAATCGATGGCCTCCTGTGGTGATTAAACATATTACTTCTGTTAATAAATTCATTATGAACATATATATGTCCACTTATGGACATATTTGCTTATACTCTTGTACCAGATGCACTTATGGACCAGTTTTTTGTGGTTGTTCATCAGCGTGGCTCAGCAGACGTCACAAAAATCAAATGTGAAAAACTAAACCTCTGGATGGGATCTTTACAAAAGCAAATGAAAGGATTGTTCAGGACAATGATTTTTAGCTCTCCTGTCTGTTAATTTCTTCCCTAAAAAACAGAAAACTGAAATTAACTCACTAGTATTATCAACTGGCATGTATCTCTCCCCATTTTTCTGAAGGAGCTGGGGTCTCCAAGCAGGGCAGGCTCCATCGGTGGTGATGCTCAACTGGAAGCATGGCGTCCACCCACTGCAACACCACGCCTCCGCTGCATAGACACGTTCAGGGGGTATGTGGGGCTCCCTTGGGACATTGTGGGCACAGGTAGTCTAGGATTACATGTTTGCACATAAACACACTTTTTGGTATTTTACATATCTTCTGTTTTGTAGGGTAGGCAGGACTTCTTGCTGTAAAAATAAATCAGTGGCCTCTTACTTGAAAACTGTCATGATAGCAAATATAAAGTTGCTAGAGAGGAATCAAGGGTTGAGGCCAGAACCAGTTTCCACTGATAGGTAGATTCTGCTGAGTTAAGGTCATGTGGGCAGGCAGCAGCACATGGGTGGGGCCTCCCCATCCATCCGCAACCCCCCCCCCCCCCGCCCCACCGTGTCCCATTGGACAAATGAAACACCAGCATGCGCCAGCCCTGGCCCTTCCCCATTGCTAGCAAAACAGCTTGAATATCAGGCCCTCTGGGAAGCAAATCCAGAGTCCTACAGCAAGTTGTATTTTATTTTATTTATTTTTTTAAAGATTCTATTTATTTATTTGATAAAGAGAGACACAGCAAGGAAAGGAACACAAGCAGGGGTAGTGGGAGAGGGAGAAGCAGGCTTCCCGCTGAGCAGGGAGCCCAATGCGGGGCTCGATCCCAGGACTCCGGGATCATGACCTGAGCTGAAGGCAGACACTTAACTGACTGAGCCACCCAGGCGTCCCTCATGGAGGGCTTTAAAACTCCAGTGATAATTATAATTCTGTCCCAGCCTCCCAGACACTGAGTCCTCCTGGGGTGCATATTGGAAGCCAGGCAATAATAATAACCACTGCTAAGAATTTTTGAATTCTCACCCTGTGCCAGGCACTGTTCTTACTTGTCGTAGTTTATTCAATCTCTTCACAATCCTATGAGGCATATACTTTTAATATGCCTGTTGTACAGGTGAAGAGACTGGGCCACAGAGTTAAGTAATGTGCCCGAGGTCACCGGGGACTATGTGGGATGGCTGGGATCTGACTCCAGGAGTTGGGCCCCAGAGTCCGCACAGATAACTGCAATGACACACTCAAGGCTTCAGTCTTCAGTATCCTGCAGAATTAGCATCAGATAGTAGCATATTCAGAGTCTTTTTTATTGTATTCCTTTCTCTTTTTTTTAGGAGAGGGATGGGGAGAGGGGCAGAGGGTGAGAGAGAATCTTAAACAGGCTCCACGCCCTCTGTGGAGCCTGATGAGGGGCTCGATCCCACAACCCTGAGATCATGACCTGAGCCGAAACCAGGAGTCAGAAGCTTTTAACCAACTGAGCCACCCAGGTGCCTCTATTCCTCTTTTTTTTTTGATTCTCATTGCCACTTTTGGAGATGAGATGTTTGCAGATAGATAGGAACTAACATTTATTAAGTGCCTAAAATGTGCCAAGCGCTGGTTAGGTACCTCAGTGGTCCCGGGGGTCCCTGTGAGCGTGTTCCCTCTCTTACAGAGAAGCAGACTGAGGTAACATAAGAGTCTTGCCCTAATAAGAGTTGAGGGTGCATGATTTGAGCCCTTAGCTCTAATGACTGTATGCCTTCTACTACGGTTCTTTAACTTGCAACATCTAAGTAATTAGCACAGAATTGAGTGATTGGAAATGTTTTGCTTTGTTTTCAAGTTACACAGTTCAGTGTCAGTAAATTTCTCTTAAGAAATCATGTTGGAGGGCACCTGGGTGGCTCAGTCAGTTGAGCGTCCGACTCTTGATCTCAGCTCAGGTCTTGATTTCATGGTGGTGATTTCGAGCCCCATGTGGAGCTTAGTTAAAAAAAAAAAATTAAGAAATCATGTTGGAAATGTTGGCAACAGAAGGGCTTTGTGTAGGGCCCTGATTGTAGTGATTAGAAATAATAGTTTCCTGCTCTTTAAGTGTATCTGTGTTGTGACTGCCCCTGTCAGTATGTGTGTGTGTGTCTTATAGTTGGGCCATTCCCTGTCACAAGGGCAAGCCCTGAAAGTGTGCTTTTTGCTGCTTTACAGGATAGCTCTCATCCTCATGGTCTTCGTTAATTATGGAGGAGGAAAATATTGGTACTTCAAACACTCAAGTTGGAATGGTAAGATATTTCCTAAAAGTAGTATTGCTTGCATAGGACCCCTCAGAGAAGTGTGGACAAGAGAACCTCTCAGCATTCCGTCAGGAACTCAGAGATGAGGTCCCACCATCTTCCTTTGAGCGCTGATCTCCTGCTCCCATAGAATGACCTTTAGATGATGCTGTTAACCCTTTTGTTTTGTTCTTGCTTTTGTGTGCTGTAGCCTTGTAATGCTTCACTGTGATAGCACATGGTTGCCCAAGTCTCTGTTGCAGGGCTGTGGGACTCTGCAGAAGCTGTTAAGAATTTAGTTATAAATGATTCTTGTCATATTTTAGATATGCCTTTTAATACAGCCACATGGGAGTTCTGCCTTCTAAGACTCATGGTCCTCCTCGGGGTGCCATTGAACTCAGGTTGGTCTGAGTGGTGCTGAGTAATGGTGAATCTGGCTCAGTAGTTGGTTTAAGAATGGATTTTGAATACTACAGCTTGAAGATAACAGACTTGTCCAGACTTCTACTCTGGCTCTCCCATGTCCAGTCATGTTCTTAGGAAATACCTCAGGCCTGGTGACTGGTTCCAGAGTTCCCAGGGAGCGTCTGTGTGTTTTCAGTGTTTTCCTGTGAACTCTCTATGTGAGTTTACTTTCCATATATATTAGTATATAATGGAGCCATTCTAGATTTAGGAAGTACTTACATTCTAGAGTCTTTTTCCTTACTCTTGTGCTTGTGTTATTCTCCAGGACTGACAGTGGCTGACCTCGTATTCCCATGGTGAGTTGCAGTCTACCACCAGCTCTTCCATAGGTCATCCAAGTGTCCAGCTGATGCTGGAGCCTTTATCTGAAACCATCCTTGAGTTCTGGGCTGCAGGCCTATGTTGCTCACAGGTCCTTCCAAAAGTTGTGTTACTGGATAGTTCTTATACTTGGTATAGGGCTTATCTAAAACCTGCATATAAAAGATGACACGGAACATTTTGTTATTGTAGATACGCTATACAAGATCCTGGATCTTGTAGGAAATCATAAATTCTGAATATGTAGTTAAATCCCACTAATCCTGAAAATAAGTATAAAAATCATATTTCCTAAAAGAAATGTAGTATATTAGCATCAGGAGATTCTGATAAGTATGTAACCGGGCAATGATAGTATTAAATTAAAATTTAAAGTAATACAGGAGCAATGCACTCTGTCTCTGATCATCTGTGGCTTGTTCACCTTGTCAAGGGACCCTGATTCCTGTACAATGTGGGATTTGTGTCTTTGCCTGTGATGCTTTGAGTGACTTTGTCCATCTTTAGGATGTAGTACTAGCTATTGGTTTATGCCTTTAGTTCCTTGTGTTTCATCACTAATAGGAACTCAGGGTTTTTTGTGGGGGAGCTGGGGTTCTTGTTTGAGATGGTTTTTGGGAGGAGGAAGTTTTACATGCCTGAAGACCTGGTAATTATGTACATTCTTTTTTTTTAAAGATTTTATTTATTAGGAAGGGAGAGCGTGCATGAACAAGGGGCAAAGGCAGAGGGAGAAGCAGAATCCCTGCTGAGCAGGGAACCTGATGCGGGGCTCGATCCCAGGACTCTGGGATCATGACCTGAGCTGAAGGCAGATGCTTAACCAACTGAGCCACCCAGGCTCCCCATTTATGTACATTCTTTACGAGGTTCCCTATAGGAAATGTGTTCCCGTTCCTGTTACTAGACACTTTTATCCAATTAGGTGACCCCAAGAAAGGAAGCCAGAGGACATCAAGGAATGTAGCAAGAGCAAACTCTCACCTCTATTAACCCCACGCTCAATCATCGGAAAGATTGCTATTCTGACTTTTTTTAAAAAAGAGTTAATTTAGTATAATAAAAGGGAAGAAAAGAGGTATGTGGCTCAGACAAAATTAGAAAAAGGAATCTAGCTTTCATTTTTCTTTTAGGAGAAAGAGTGAATTTAGAAATGATTGACATGTCTTTGAGGGCATGCTCCTGAAAGTCCAGTTGTTTAGATTCTAGCATCTTCATCATTGTTTCTCTTTAATAATAAATGAGAGACTTGTCCTTGGAAATTACACTCAGCCCTGAAGAATTTTCCTTCTAGGATATGACTTGAAGGTGCACAAACCTTATAGTCCAACAGGGTTATGTTCTGATTCTTCCTTCAATATTATTTCAATAATTGGCTACTTTAGAAAAATCATGTATTGCTTCTTTTATGTAGTAGATTATAAAATATTAATGATATATAGACAAAAAAAAAAAACCCACCCTAGAAATGACCACCTCTTACTAGCTGTCTTTTTTTCTAGGTTTGTCTTTATTATGGGATCTTCAATTTTTCTATCAATGACTTCCATACTGCAGCGAGGATGTTCAAAATTCAAATTGCTGGGGAAAATTGCATGGAGGAGTTTCCTGTTAATCTGTATAGGAGTGGTCATTGTGAACCCCAATTACTGCCTTGGTCCATGTAAGTATTTTTCCCCCGCTATTAGTATACATTCTGGTTGAAATATGGAAGCTACATGTCGTAATTTAAAAGAAATATAATTCCTCCATCTCAGGTACCTGCAAAAAAGAACAGTTATTAAAAAAATGTATACCTGCTTGTATAACTTCGGGCATTATTGTTACTGTCTTGGGACTTCAGACCTGGGAAGAGCGTCTAAGACCACTCAGACCCTTCTGCTGTACAAAGGAAGACTCTGAGTCCCGGAGAGATTGAAGTGTTTTCTGTGGATCTTCTAAGTGCAGCAACAGAGTAGTAGAGCCAGATCAGGTCATCTGGTTCTAGACCCTGCCCTCCTGCCACTTTGGATTCATCGACTTTCATAATAAGGCGATTGTGTGGTAGTTCAAGAATCCACCTTTGTCATCACCCGTATGCTGCTGGGTTGCTGGGAAAGAATATCTTTGTTATTGTTTTAGCAGTGTGAGTGAGCTAGGAAGGCTGAGGGAAGGACGCACACCCCTTGCTTGGGACCCACATCAGGGTCAGGGAAGGCAGTAGTTGGCTGTACTCAAGGGGCTTCCAGTGGCATTAGCAAAACAGGACACAATTATCTGGACAATAGCCAGATGGTCCCCTTGGACAAGAAGCACTAAGAGTAGGCATTAGGAGGAGGTAGAGGTCACTTCCAGTTGGGGTCAGAAGGAAAGGTGTCACATAATAGTTGATTTGATGCCTCTCCAAAAAAGTGGGCCACTGCTCCCAGGAGAATACATTGTAGGGTTCATTACATGGTCACACACTTCCAGTGATGTAGCCATGTAGCCTGTAAGATAGGGAGAGTCCATTGGTGGCCTGTGCTGGCTCTGCAGGTTGCGGGTGGATGTGAGAGTTGATTGAATCCGTACCCAGAACGACAAAGGGCCAGGAGAGAAACTTCAGGGCCCAGGTAGTCCTTGCTTTATCTCACACCCAAGGAACACATGTGTTCTTATCCCCGTGTCCCAGCTGGCCACTTCCTGCTGTGAGTTTGAGCCAAGTCCCCTATGCCTATCTCCAAGAGCCTAGAAAGCAACTTAAGTGCAATGGAGGTATGTTTCCCCCTTAGAAAACAATAATGTTGTCTTGGGTAGGAGGAGGAATGCTGGCTAACACTTCACCTAATTTGTGCCTTCTGCAGTGTCTTGGGATAAGGTGCGAATTCCTGGCGTGCTCCAGAGGCTGGGGGTGACCTACTTTGTGGTTGCCGTGTTAGAGCTCATCTTTGCTAAACCTGTCCCTGAAAGTTGTGCCTCGGTGAGAAATCTGCTTTTAAACACACGGTTGGGGGTGGGTGGGAATCACTGTATGATTTTCAGAACTTTCTTTAGTTCTGAGCACAGTACTTTATCTCAGTAGACTCCTTAACTGCGTTAGTCAAGTACATTCTTTTTTTCCTTCAATTAGTTATTTTCCTTTAGTCTTTACACCAATCCTTTTCTCTGTTGTGGGGAAAAAACACATAACATGAGATCTCCCCTCTTAATAAATTTTTAAATGTCCAGTAATCAAATGCTTTTTGATGGCATTAAATAATACCAGAATCATCTAGTTTGCTAGTTCAATCCTTGGGGGCATTATAGTACAAGATATATAGAAAACTCACAAAACATTTCAGTATCTATATAGATGCTGTGAAGATTCAACTTGGAGGAAAAATGCCAAGGTAGGGTAGAGGAAAATGGCAGTATCGTCCGTGGCTGTCCTTGGCTATTTCATATTTCTTATTTGTGGGAAGTATGTGAGAGCCTCACTTCTTTCACAATTGCTTTCTATCTTACTATAAATTGCTCTGTTGAATTAAGCTTTTTTCCCCCTAGTAGAGATAAAAACTCAGGAAGAAATGTTTAAATTCTTCCACTTGGGGTCCTTAATAAATTAATAAAGCTGAATTTATTTTCTAGCTCCTTTCTGTATATGTAACTAGCAGATTCATCACTGAACCCCAGATTTTCTTGGCTATTCCTGTAATGATGGCTTGGTTATACGTCCTTGGAGTGCATTGGATCATTATTCATTTACCTGCTCTGTCCACTGTGTCATTGTATGTGTACCCTCTGCTGTGGGTTTTCTTGAGGTGAAGTGAGACTAGACATGAATGCGGGCTTGGTTAGTCACATGGGACCTAAGGTCTGTGGAGAATTCATCTCCCACCTCCACAGTGGAGTGAGGGTTTGGGTGGGCCACCAAGAATAGATGGGCTGTACTCCTTCCTTCAGTCACGACAGCTCCAAAAGTTTAAATTTCGTTTTCCTTTCTTAAAATGCACTTTTTAATTAACATATAATGTATTGTTTGTTTCAGGGGTACAAGTCTGTGATTCATCAGTCTTACACAATTCACATCGCTCACCATAGTACATACCCTCCCCAGTGTTTAAAATGTATTTTAGCTTTTTTAATGACAGCTTTATTTTTTATTTATTTATTTTTATTTTTTTTTATTCTTATGTTAATCCCCATACATTACATCATTAGTTTTAGATGAAGTGTTCCATGATTCATTGTTTGTGCATAACACCCAGTGCTCCATGCAGAATGTGCCCTCCTCAATACCCACCACCAGGCTAACCCATCCTCCCACCCCCCTCCCCTCTAGAACCCTCAGTTTGTTTTTCAGAGTCCATCGTCTCTCATGGTTCGTCTACCCCTCCGATTTCCCCCACTTCATTCTTCCTCTCCTGCTACCTTCTTCTTCTTTTTTTTTCTTAACATATATTGCATTATTTGTTTCAGAGGTACAGATCTGAGATTCAATAGTCTTGCACAATTCACAGTGCTTACCAGAGCACATACCCTCCCCAGTGTCTATCACCCAGTCCCCCCATCCCTCCCACCCCACCCCCCACTCCAGCAACCCTCAGTTTGTTTCCTGAGATTAAGAATTCCTCATATCAGTGAGGTCATATGATACATGTCTTTCTCTGTTTGACTTATTTCGCTCAACATAATACCGTCCAGTTCCATCCACGTCGTTGCAAATGGCAAGATCTCATTCCTTTTGATGGCTGCATAATATTCCATTGTATATATATACCACCTCTTCTTTATCCATTCATCTGTCGATGGACATCTTGGCTCTTTCCACAGTTTGGCTATTGTGGACATTGCTGCTATAAACATCAGGGTGCACATACCCTTTTGGATCCCTACTTTTGTATCTTTGGGGTAAATACCCAGTAGTGCAATTGCTGGATCATATGGTAGCTCTATTTTCAACTTTTTGAGGAACCTCCATACTGTTTTCCAGAGTGGCTGCACCAGCTTGCATTCCCACCAACAGTGTAGGAGGGTTCCCCTTTCTCCGCATCCCCGCCAACATCTGTCGTTTCCTGACTTGTTAATTTTAGCCATTCTGAGTGGTGTGAGGTGGTATCGCATTGAGGTTTTGATTTGGATTTCCCTGATGCTGAGCGATATTGAGCACTTTTTCATGTGTCCGTTGGCCATTTGGATGTCTTCTTTGGAAAAATGTCTGTTCATGTCTTCTGCCCATTTCTTGATTGGATTCTTTGTTCTTTGGGTGTTGAGTTTGATGAGTTCTTTATAGATTTTGGATACTAGCCTTTTATCTGATATGTCATTTGCAAATATCTTCTCCCATTCTGTCAGTTGTCTTTTGGTTTTGTTGACTGTTTCCTTTGCTGTGCAAAAGCTTTTTATCTTGATGAAGTCCCAATAGTTCATTTTTGCCCTTGCTTCCCTTGCCTTTGGTGATGTTTCTAGGAAGAAGTTGCTTCGGCTGAGGTCAAAGAGGTTGCCTGTGTTCTCCTTTAGGATTTTGATGGACTCCTGTCTCACGTTTAGGTCTTTCAACCATTTGGAGTCTATTTTTGTGTGTGGTGTAAGGAAATGGTCCAGTTTCATTCTTCTGCATGTGGCTATCCAATTTTCCCAACACCATTTGTTGAAGAGACTGTCTTTTTTTCCATTGGACATTCTTTCCTGCTTTGTCAAAGATGAGTTGATCATAGAGTTGAGGGTCCGTTTCTGGGCTCTCTATTCTGTTCCATTGATCTATGTGTCTGTTTTTGTGCCAGTACCATACTGTCTTGATGATGACAGCTTTGTAATAGAGCTGGAAGTCCGGAATTGTGATGCCGCCAGCTTTGCTTTTCTTTTTCAACATTCCTCTGGTTATGCGGGGTCTTTTCTGGTTCCATACAAATTTTAGGATTATTTGTTCCATTTCTTTGAAAAAAGTGGATGATATTTTGATGGGGATTGCATTGAATGTGTAGATTGCTCTAGGTAGCATTGACATCTTTACAATATTTGTTCTTCCAATCCATGAGCATGGAACGTTTTTCCATTTCTTTGTGTCTTCCTCAATTTCTTTCATGAGTATTTTATAATTTTCTGAGTACAGATCCTTTGCCTCTTTGGTTAGATTTATTCCTAGGTATCTTATGGTTTTGGGTGCAATTGTAAATGGGATCGACTCCTTAATTTCTCTTTCTTCTGTCTTGTTGTTCGTGTATAGGAATGCCACTGACTTCTGTGCATTGATTTTATATCCTGCCACTTGACTGAATTCCTGTATGAGTTCTAGCAGTTTTGGGGTGGAGTCTTTTGGGTTTTCCACATAAAGTATCATATCATCTGCAAAGAATGAGAGTTTGACTTCTTCTTTGCCCATTTGGATGCCTTTGATTTCTTTTTGTTGTTTGATTGCTGTGGCTAGGACTTCCAATACCATGTTGAATAGCAGTGGTGATAGTGGACATCCCTGCCGCGTTCCTGACCTTAGGGGGAAAGCTCTCAGTTTTTCCCCATTGAGAATGATATTCGCTGTAGGTTTTTCATAGATGGCTTTTATGATATTGAGGTATGTACCCTCTATGCCTATACTCTGAAGAGTTTTGATCAAGAAAGGATGCTGTACTTTGTCAAAAGCTTTTTCTGCATCTATTGAGAGGATCATATGATTCTCGTCTTTCTTTTGTTAATGTATTGTATCACATTGATTGGTTTGCAGATGTTGAACCAACCTTGCAGCCCAGGGATAAATCCCACTTGGTCGTGGTGAATAATCCTTTTAATGTACTGTTGGATCCTATTGGCTAGTATTTTGGTGAGAATTTTTGCATCCGTGTTCATCAGGGATATTGGTCTATAATTCTCCTTTTTGATGGAGTCTTTGTCTGGTTTTGGGATCAAGGTAATGCTGGCCTCATAAAATGAGTTTGGAAGTTTTCCTTCCATTTCTACTTTTTGGAACAGTTTCAGAAGAATAGGTATTAATTCTTCTTGAAATGTTTGGTAGAATTCCCCTGGGAAGCCATCTGGCCCTGGGCTTTTGTTGGGAGATTTTTGATGATGCTTCAATTTCCTTAGTGGTTATAGGTCTGTTCAGGTTTTCTATTTCTTCCTGGTTCAGTTTTGGTAGTTGATACATCTCTAGGAATGCATCCATTTCTTCCAGGTTATCTAATTTGCTGGCATAGAGTTGCTCATAATATGTTCTTATAATTGTTTGTATTTCTTTGGTGTTGGTTGTGATCTCTCCTCTTTCATTCATGATTTTGTTGATTTGGGTCCTTTCTCTTTTCTTTTTGATAAGTCTGGCCAGGGGTTTATCAATCTTGTTAATTCTTTCAAAGAACCAGCTCCTAGTTTCGTTGATCTGTTCTACTGTTCTTTTAGTTTCTATTTCATTGATTTCTGCTCTGATCTTTATTATTTCTCTTCCCCTGCTGGGTTTAGGCTTTATTTGCTGTTCTTTCTCCAGCTCCTTTAGGTGTAGGGTTAGGTTGTGTACTTGAGACCTTTCTTGTTTCTTGAGAAAGGCTTGTATTGCTATATACTTTCCTCTTAGGACTGCCTTTGCTGCATCCCAAAGATTTTGAATAGTTGTGTTTTCATTTTCATTGGTTTCCATGTATTTTTTTAATTCTTCTTTAATTTCCTGGTTGACCCATTCATTCTTCAGTAGGATGCTCTTTAGCCTCCATGTATTTGAGTTCTTTCCGACTTTCCTCTTGTGATTGAGTTCTAGTTTCAAAGCATTGTGGTCTGAAAATAGGCAGGGAATGATGCCAATCTTTTGGTACCGGTTGAGACCTGATTTATGACCTAGGATGTGATCTATTCTGGAGAATGTTCCATGGGGACTAGAGAAGAATGTGTATTCCGTTGCTTTGGGATGGAATGTTCTGAATATGTCTGTGAAGTCCATTTGGTCCAGTGTGTCATTTAAAGTCTTTATTTCCTTGTTCATCTTTTGCTTAGACGATCTGTCCATTTCAGTGAGGGGGGTGTTAAAGTCCCCCACTATCATTGTATTGTTGTTGATGTGTTTCTTTGCTTTTGTTATTAATTGCCTTATATAATTGGCTGCTCCCATGTTAGGGGCATAGATATTTACAATTGTTAGATCTTCTTGTTGGATAGACCCTTTAAGTAGGATATAATGTCCTTCCTCATCTCTTATTACAGTCTTTGGTTTAAAATCTAATTTGTCTGATACAAGGATTGCCACCCCAGCTTTCTTTTGGTGTCCATTAGCATGGTAATTGGTTTTCCACCCCCTCACTTTCAATCTGGGGGTGTCTTTGGTTCTAAAATGAGGCTCTTGCAGACAGCATATCTATGGGTCTTGTTTTTAATCCAGTCTGATAGGCTGTGTCTTTTGATTGGGGTATTTAGCCCATTTACATTCAGGGTAACTATTGAAAGATAGGAATTTAGTGCCATTGTATTGCCTGTAAGGTGACTGTTACCATATATTGTCTGTGTTCCTTTCTGGTCTATGTTGCTTTTAGGGTCTCTCTTTGCCTAGAGGACCCCTTTCAGGATTTCTTCTAGGGCTGGTTTTGTGTTTGCAAATTCCTTTAGTTTTTGTTTGTCCTGGAAGCTTTTTATCTCTCCTTCTATTTTCAATGACAGCCTAGCTGGATAGAGTATTCTTGGCTGCATATTTTTCTCATTTAGTGCCCTGAATATATCCTGCCAGTCCTTTCTGGCCTGCCAGGTCTCTGTGGATAGGTCTGTTGCCAATCTAATGTTTCTACCATTGTAGGTTACATATCTCTTCTCCCGAGCTGCTTTCAGGATTTTCTCTTTGTCTATGGGACTTGTAAGTTCTACTATTAGATGTCGGGGTGTTGACCTATTTTTATTGATTTTGAGAGGGGTTCTCTGTGCTTCCTGGATTTTGATGCCTGTTTCCTTCCCCAAATTAGGGAAGTTCTCTGCTATAATTTGCTCCATTATACCTTCTGCCCCCCTCTCTCTTTCTTCTTCTTCTGGGATCCCAATTATTCTAATGTTGTTTCGTCTTATGGTATTGCTTATCTCTCGAATTCTGCCCTCATGATCCAGTAGTTGTTTATCTCTCTTTTTCTCAGCTTCTTTATTTTCCATCATTTGGTCTTCTATATCACTGATTCTGTCTTCTGCCTCATTTATCCTAGCAGTTAGCGCCCCCATATTTGATTGCACCTCATTAATAGCCTTTTTGATTTCTACTTGGTTAGATTTTAGTTCTTTTACTTCTCCAGAAAGGGTTTCTCTAATAACTTCCACATTTTTTTCAAGCCCAGCTAGTATCTTTAAAGTGATGATTCTGAACTCTAGATCTGACATCGTACTAATGTCTGTATTGAGTAGGTCCCTGGCAGTTGATACTACCTCTTGTTCTTTTTGTTGAGGTGATTTTTTCCATCTTGTCATTTTGTGCAGAGGAGAATAGATTAATGAGAGAACAAAATGCTAGCAGAGTAACAACATCCCCAGAAAATATACTCTAAACAAATCAGAAAAGACCTGAAGCAGTGGGAAAAGAAAGGGAAAGAGAGAAAAAAGAAAAAGAAAAAAAAGAAAAAGATAAAGATAAAAACAAACAAAAACAAACAAAACAAAACCACAACAACCAAAAAAACCAGAATGTGATCAAATATGATCTATATGGTATATAGATCAGTGCCACACACTAGATTTGGGGTGTATTTTGGTCTGTTAGAAGAAAGTGCCTCCCAAAATTTTAAAGAAAGAAAAACTTATATATGTACAAAAATAAGGGTTGATATGATGAAGGGATGGAATATGAGTGTAAAGATGGAAATTATAAAAAATTTTATAAAAGGAATTGATAAGAAGTTGTTTGAAAAAAGAAAGAAGGGGATTTAAAAAAAAAAAGAAAAAAAAGGGGAGAGAATGTGATCAGGCAGGGGAGTAGAAAAAACCATATACTAGAGATTTAGGGTATATTTTGATCTGTTAGAAGAAACTATCTCAAAATTTTAAAGAGAACAACTTATATATAAATGCCAAAAATATGGGTAACTACTATGAAAGGATAGAATATGACTCTAAAAATGAAAAATAAAAATGTTTTTTAAAAGGATTGATAAGATGTTGGTTGAAAAAGGGAAAAAGAAAAATTAAAAAAAAAAAAACAGTTAAAAAAAATTAACCTTGAAAGACTAAAGAATCATGGTAAAAAAGCCATGAATTCTATGTGCAGTATTCCCCTAGTGCCGGAGTTCTGCCGTTCTCATTGATCGGTAAACTTGGTCTTGGCTGGCTGTTCTCTCTGATCTTCTGGGGGAGGGGCCTGTTGCCGTGGTTCCCAAATGTCTTTGCCGGAGGCGGAATTGCCCTGCCCTTGCCCTGTCCGGGCTAAGTAATTTGCTCGGGTTGCTCTCCAGAGCTTTTGTTCTCTGCGAGCTTTCCGTACAGCTTTGGAGGCAGAGAGTGAAAATGGCGGCCTCCCAATCTCCACCCCGGAGGAGCCGAGAACTCGGGGCCCCTCTCCTCAGTGAGCCCCCAGAGAAAAGCCGCCAGTCACTCCCATCTCCCCGGTCTCCGGCCGCACTCCGTGCTCACACGGCCTGTGACCGCGCGTTTCTATCTCTGGCACCCGACCCCGGGTGGAGTCTCCAAACCCAGCAGATCCCTGCGGTGCACTCCCGTGCGGCTCCTCTCGGGGGAGGAAGGTGAGTCTCCCCGGATCTGCCGCTTGTTGGGTCCCTGCTGGAGGAGTAGTGGCCCGACTGTGCCGCGGATCCCGGTTTATGGCGACCCCGAGCTGAGAGCCCGCGCCTCGGCTCCGCCTCTGCAGCCGGCTTCCCTGCTCCGTTACCTGGGAGCTCTGCCACACTCAGGCATCCCCGGTCTTTCTGTGACCCCGAGGGTCCTGAGACCACACTGTCCCGGAGGGTTCCACCCCCCGCTTAGCCACCGGAGTGACGTCCCTCAGTGGAGCAGACTTTTAAAAGTTCCGATTTTGTGCTCCGCGGCTCTATCACTTGCCAGAAGCGGCAGACGGAGGCCCCTCCCCCTCCGTCTATCCTCCCGAATATCGCCTCGGATTCACTTCTCCGCACGTCCTACCTTCCAGAAAGCGGTCGCTTTTCTGATGAGAGAGTTGTCACTATTCTTTTCTTCGATCTCCTGTTGAGTTTGTAGGTGTTCAGAATGGTTTGATCCCTATCTAGCTGAATGCCTGAGAGGAGACGAAATCCAGGTCTCCTACTCCTCCACCATCTTGCTCCGCCCCCCTTAATGACAGCTTTATTGAGATATATTGCACATACCAAAAAAACTCAAAAGTTTGAAGCGTGCAATTCAATGATACTTAGTATATTCACAGAGTTGTGCAGTCATCACCACTACCCAATTCTAGAACATTTTCATTACCCCACAAGAAACCCTGTACTCACTACCAGTCACTCACTGTTCTCCACGACCCCCCCAGCCCCGGGCAACCCCTCATCTACTTTCTGTCTCTGTAGATTTACCTATTTTGACATTTCTTATAAATGGAATTATGCCTTTCTCTTTGGTTTCTTTCATGTAGCATATTTTTCAAGGGCCATGTATTGGTGCTTTATTCCTTTTACTGCTGAATAATACTCTATTTTATGAATGTACCACTTTTTAGATATATTCATCAGTTGATGAGCATTTGACTTATTTCCATTCTTTGGCTAGTATGAATAAAGATTCCATGTATATTTGTGTACAAGTTTTTGTGTGAACATCTGTTTTCAGTTCTCTTGGGTATAGGAGTAGAATTGTCCAGTGATTTCTTTTTTCTTTTTTTTTTCCTAAGATTTTACTTATTTATTTAGAGGGCGAGCATGAGTGGAGGGAGGGGGAGAGGGAGAGAGAGAATCCCAAGCAGACTCCATGCTGAGCACAGAGCCAGATGCAGGGCTTGATCTTGCCTGAGCCAAAATCAAGAGTTGGATACTTAACTGACTGAGCCATCCAGGCATCCCATCCAGTGATATCTTTTTAACTAATGTTTTACTATGATATTTCATGGAGAGGGGCAGGTAGACCACGTAATATATACGAAATAAACATGCATCTATTTTTGTATTACTCCCATAAAGGCCAACAGAAGAATCACCAGGAATTTCCTGAATACGTTTACTGCATATTTTTTCCTCTTCTACTTACATGTAGTTCATATTATGTTTTTTTTTTATAACCCCTCACTCAGGAGAGAAGCTGCTTTTCCCTTCGAGACATCATCTTCAGCTGGCCCCAGTGGCTCTTCATTCTGATGCTGGAAAGCATTTGGCTGGGCTTGACATTCTTCTTGCCTGTTCCTGGATGTCCTACGTAAGTGAGCCCACGGAGGTAATCCCTTTTTGCATGTCCTTTTCTGCCAAGTCAGAGCTTCTGGGGTGAGAGCTTGCAGATTTCCCGAGGGAGAGGAACTTGCTTTCACTCTTTGTTCTCCTTTGAGGCATTATGTGTATGGGTGAGGAGTTTGGTGTATGTCCAGAGGAATGTCTCCGTGAGGCTTTTTCCGGGTCTGTTTGAAGGGAAGTTGGGCTGCCCACCTTAGCTTGTGGGGAGTAGTCAAGTCAGAAGAGCATCGGTGAGGAGTGCATGGCGCCGAGGGGTCTCCGTGTTTGAGGCTCCTCGTTGGGCTGCAACAGTTGCCAGGATAAGCCTTATTCCCGCTGAAGTCTTGTCAATTAAGTACGTGTTTTCACTTCCCCAGTGGTTATCTCGGCCCTGGTGGCATTGGAGATTTGGGGAAGTATCCAAATTGTACCGGAGGAGCTGCTGGCTACATTGACCGCCTGCTTCTGGGTGATGACCACATTTACCAGCATCCTTCTTCGGCCGTGAGTGAGCCTCGCTTGCACTTTGAGCTAGACCCATGGGAGCTCTGACATGAAGGAAAACAGAAAGGGCTGGCCAACTGGAGAGACTGTCCATTTAACAAACTATGATGGGACCTAATTTTTATTTCAAGTTTGCTGATTTAGGAAATGTAATGTTTTATGGGGCCGTGTGTATCCATTACTTTGGATTTGAAAGTGCAAATGCAGTGGATCAAGCATGTGGCGGTGTGCTTTTTCCCTGTGGCTCAGGTCAGACTTCCTGGCCACAGACTCTGAGGCTGAGATTCGTGTGCAGGAAGCTTATCAGGCCGTCCTTTTGGGATCAGCCCCTGCTGGGGATCAGAGGAAGCAGGAATGGGCAGAAAGGGTAGCTGGACTGACTGGTACAGTCACACAAGGCCTTAGCTCATCTCCTGGGGGGCTAGACTGGTGCTTTAGAGTTGTTCTGAATTGGAGTGAGGGATCTGGCCATTGGATGTGGACTGCCCCCAGTAGGGGAGTGGGACTCCTGGAGAGGCAGCTCTCTTTAGTCAAGGACAGATCCAGAAAAGGGACTTGGCTGAGAGCTTTTGGCCATTAATATTTCTGCTAGCTCAGGGAATGAATACTTTCGTCCAGAGAGGGGTGGGCAGGGGGGTATCAGAGTAATGCACTGTGGGATCCACCACTGTCTGTTGCCAAATTTCTGCAGTTTCTACATGAACGTTTGTTTTATAATAAAATAATACAGATATATTTTTAAATGTTATTTGCCGTAAAGGAAGTTAGAAAGGAACAGCTTTTTTTTTGTTTTTGTTTTTAATATTTTATTTATTTATTTAAGAGAGAGAGAGCAATCGAGAGAGCACAAGCAGGAGGAGGGGCAGAGGGAGAGGGAGAAGCAGGCTCTTGCTGAGCAGGGAGCCTAACACAGGGCTCGATCCCAAGACCCTGATATCATGACCTGAGCTGAAGGCAGATACTTAACCAACTGAGCCACCCAGGTGTCCCAGGAACAGCTTTTTGATGTTACAGTAGGGTTGACCAACCTGACAGTTATGAAGGTATTATGCACAGTGTTGGAACCGGTTAGGGATGCCTCAAATCACTGGCCCCTGAAGTTGAAGTGGCTGCTCTGGGTCATGGCTCATCCCTGGGCTCTGTGTCCCCTTCTGGTATCACACACCCCACACTTTGTTGATTAGAAGTATTCTGCCTGTAATCCCCACAAGTTGTCCATGAATTTCTGCAGCAAAAATGAAAAATATTGAATTCTGGAGTGTATTCAGGTTTGTATTTGATCTCCAAATTGTTTGCATGCATTTCGTGGTCAGTGAGTTCTGCCTTCTTTTTCTGTTTTGTTAAGGTGCTTTATCACACTGAGGTGGCCTATGATCCAGAGGGAATTTTAGGGACCATCAACTCCATTGTGATGGCATTTTTAGGAATTCAGGTATTCGTTCATTTCATTAGGGTGTACATTTTTCTGACAGTTCATGATTATTCATTCATCACTAATTCAAAAACTATTTCATTAAAACAAGTAATTGGAAACATGCCTTCTGTGGTCTAGTAAATTGTTACATGTGACAGATTGTCAGAACTAGATACTGCTAAAATTCAGCACATGGAAATAATTAGGTATAATTCCTATATCTTCTCCCCCCACCCCCAAATTCTCCTTGTTTATATGGCTTATTTTAGCAATGGAGACAGAGTAGTTTCTGGGGAAAAGTTCTCCCTGCTGGGGTGTGCAGAATGTTTGTGTACTGGTGGTGTTGGGAAGTCCCTGTGTCCCCTGTTGTCACATTTATTTCTTTGTGCACACTCTGTATGGTTTCAGGTTATGCATATTGTATGCCAAAGTCAATACAGGTTGTCCTTGGTTTATCTCACAGGCAATTTTGTTAAAATTCTGAGCAGTCTAGATTTTTTTTTCCTCTAAAGTTCTCCTTATTGGTGTTTGAAACTACTATTTGAGCAGAGCTAACTGGGGGGAGGGAAAAGCATGTAAAGCAGCTGATGGAAGGCTCTGATGAAAATATTCATGTCCATGTGGCTTTTGAGTACCTGAAATGTGGGTAGTATGACCAAGGAATGAAATTTTAAATTTCATTTCATTTTAATTAATTTAAATTTAATTTCAAATAGTCTCTGGTGGCTAGTGGCCACCATATTGGGTAGTGCAGGTCTAAGGCATGTAAGTTTTGGCGATTCATATTTAGAAATACTGTTCTATACTCACCTCTGTAGCACTTTATAGTTCACAGTGGGTGCTTTCACATATATTCATTTAATCTCTGCATCTGCAGATCTGCAGGTGTGAATCTGCGCCACGAGAGCAGCCTGGGGTAGGGTTAGGAGTGCAGACCTGAGGCCACACTGGATGGGCTTGAACCCTGCTCTACCACTTTCCAGCTGGGTAGCCTCGGGCATGTTCGTCCCTCTTTGCTCCGGTAGCACCTACTTCAGGAAGGTGTGGAGAGGATTGAATGAGTTCATTCATGTAAAATTCTAAGAACTGGCACATAGAAAACATTCATAAATTTTAGCTTTAGTTACAAATTATGAACATTTTCTTATTCTTTGATGTTTTTCAGAAATTAATTCCTAATTTCAGGGGATTTTAGGCAAAGTCCAGATTGTACTGTTTCTGCCTCTAGTACCACCCTGTCCCGGTCCCTCTTCTGTATTGCTGCCAGACCAGGCCGTCCAGCAGGCCAGTCTGAACTGGTCCCTTCTTACTGTTTTTTTGGGGTGGGGGAGAAGTGACTTTCCTCAGCTCCTTCCCTCGCATGGGAGAAAGCCCGTGCCTCACCAGTGAGACCCGCAAACCTACCTGCCTCCCACCTTCCTGCCCTTCCCAACCCTCTAGCCTGTCTCACTGACCTGCAGCTCAGGGACGCATGCTCTTTCAGCCATTTGACCTGTTTCTGTGCATGCTGTTCCATTCTGCCCAGATGCCCTTCCTGCCCGTAGCCTCAACCGGACGGCACTTCCTCCCTGGCATCTTGTACCATCCTCCCGAGGAGTTCCCCGTGCCTTGGTGGCCAGCCGTCAAGGGCAGGGTGACGTTCCATTCCTCTCGGTAATCCCCGCATCTAGCAGTTTGCCTGGCAGATGAGTCTGTCTGTTGAATGATTAGGACAGTGGATGAACACGAAACACGAATATACTTTAAGCAGTTCTCTTGGTCATCTGTGTTTTCTTCTCCAGGCAGGAAAAATACTCTTATATTACAAGGATCAGACCAAAGACATTCTGATCAGATTCACTGCCTGGTGTTGTTTTCTAGTAAGTAACTGGTGTTCCTCACTAAAATCCCATCCATACGTGTTTCAAAGAAAGAAAATGCTCAGCAGCGCTGGACAGGAGCTGTGACCACAGCACAGGAGTTACATTCTACACCAGAAGAGCAGAGGAGAGGAACACATCTTCACACCTGAACTCTCAGGTTTATTTTCTTAGGCAAATGTCTTTATAACTAAGAGTGTTTGCCGCTGAAAGGCCAGCTGGAATCGTGACGAGATAGTGTGGGTCCCGGTGGGGAGCCAGGCCAGGAAGAGCAGGGTAACAGCTTTCAGAAGTCCGCTTCCAGATCTCCCTGTGACGGAGAGTTGAAAGTTGGGCTGTTCATTTTATCCCTCACGTTTCCTCTCTAATTTATTTACTAGTTTACCTTCGACTCAAGAGAATGCTTTGGAGATTTTTGTTTTGGAGAATATTTTCAGTTATGCATCTTGAAAATAGTTTTCCAGTTAAAAGAATAAAATATAAGACACAATTTTCAGCCCTCCCTAAGGAATTAAATAACACATTTTCCAGTTTTGAAACACAGTTGTTTTTTGAGATAATATAAAAAAACCTAATATCCTTCTCCCCCTTTTGTAGGGGCTTATTTCTGTTGCTTTGACGAAAATTTCTGAAAATGAAGGCTTTATTCCAATAAACAAAAATCTGTGGTAGGTACAGAAAACAGAGTAATTTTAATGTTGGGTCGATCTTGCTGATGCTGGATGCACTCCTCAGGAGCCCTGAAACACCTCATTCGCCTTGCAGGTCCATTTCGTATGTCACCACACTGAGCTCCTTTGCCTTCTTCATCCTGCTTATCCTATACCCCATTGTAGATGTGAAGAGACTGTGGACGGGAACCCCATTCTTCTACCCAGGTAAACAAACCTCTAAGCTTGGAGTTGATTTGAAAGATTATTTATTTGAGAGAGAGAGAGAGCATGTGCATGCAGGGTGGGGAGGGGCAGAAGGAGAGAGGGAGAGACTGAGAGAGAAAATCTCAAGCAGACTCCACACTGAGCGTAGATCCCTCCTCGGGGCCAGATCCCAGGACCCTGTGATCATGACCTGAGCCAAAACCAAGAGTCAGATGCTTAACCGACTGAGCCACCTAGGCGCCCTAGACCCAGTCATTTCAGTGACTCACTTCAGCCCTCCGATTCTAGTGACAGTTACATTTTTCTGACCTCAAGTTTCTGGTCTAGAAAAGAAAAGTTCATGATTTTGGCTCTCCTTATAGATTTACTATTCAAGAATTACATCACTATAAATATGTTCTAATTTTTGTTCTAGCTTATACTTAAGTATTTAAGATATGCGTTACTTATTTTTGGCAGTAGCCAATAATATAAGTGTGTGCTTTTTGTTTTTTTCATTGGACTAAAGTCAAATTTCAAGAATTAAATAGATGATCAGATGTGACTCAGGAAAATATTATTTTCTTTCTCTCTCCTCCAGGAATGAACTCTATTCTAGTGTACGTTGGCCACGAGGTGTTTGAGAACTACTTCCCCTTTCAGTGGAAGCTGCAGGACAACCAGTCACACAAAGAGCATCTAACTCAGAACATAGTCGCCACTGCTATTTGGGTGCTCATTGCCTACATTCTCTATAAAAAGAAGGTTTTTTGGAAAATCTGACAGCTCCAGCTGAAATGTGTTGCTGGCAGACTCTAGTGGGCCTGGGGGGAGTGCTGAAGCAGCCTTTATTAAAGGGAACCATGAATTATAAAATCAGTAGGATGCGTATTTCCCAATGATTGGGGAACATGCTGATGCGCTCTGGCTGTTCATCAGAACTGTGTCTTTGAGACTTAGATGTTTGGAATATAATTGTCTTTTTTCTCCACCTTCTATGTAAATGGATATATTTAGAACTTCATTTTAAGGATTCCTCATTTAACTCTTCAAAAGGAAACTGCCATGGGCATTTTCCTTCTGTGACAGATAAAACAATCTAAAGCCTAATTTTTATTGATCTTGTTTTCCTGTAGCCTGCCTTTCCGAGTGCACACATGCCAACCAAGAAGACCATCATTTCTGTTGTGGCTGATCAGATGGGATGTGTAGCGATGCAGCCTAATATTTTTTGTGGTTAAGTGCAGTATAATATTTCAAGAAAGAGTAATTTCCTTTTCAGATCTGCAAGGCATTGGTGGGTCCAAAAAATGCCTTTCTATTGGCAGGCATTCTCTCCTTTTCCCCATTTGGAAAAGAAGTTAAAATATAGATGTGTTATTCCCAGCCACTCTTGCTTACAGTTACAATACTCACGTACCTGTTCGGCTGTGTACCCACTTGTCTGTCTTTCTCACTGTGTGTCTAGACGGTGGCTGGCACCCAGGGCTGTAGTGTGGCAGAGAAAAGCACAGTCTTGCTTGTGACGCCAGCTTTGCTCTCCTTGCCGCGTGAGATGTCTGCCAGTCCCGTGGCCTCCCTGGGCCGCAGTTCCCTCGTCTGTGACATGAGGGAGACAAGTGATGCCTCTCTGGTTCCTTCCAGCTCTTCGGCTCATTGAGGTGGGATACATCAAGAGCTTTTCTGAAATCCTTAGGAAAATAATTTTATTACAGAAAACTCTTCAAAATAAATGATAACGAGAAGGTTAAAAAACCCCACCTGTCATTGGAGTCGGTCTTTTCAGAGTGGCCCTCCACAGTGGAGGCACTTCCCTGTGGGCATCACAAAACTGAGGAAGCAGTCTCTCAGGAGCGAAGACAGGAGAACATGCAAAGAGAAGCAGCGCTCCTCATAGGACGCGTCATCATGCTTGACGACCTTTCCGTGAGAACTCTGTATGCAGCACAGGCGGAACGTTGTACGTGGGCTGAAACCCTTCCGCGCTGACACGGGGCCACCTGCACCTGGCTTCAGCCGTCACCACAGCACCGACGACTCTCTGGCCTGTGTGGGCCTCGGCCCCGAACCCTCAGCCCCACGCGTCCTTGCCCGCGGGACCCTCCGCGCAGACGCCCGCCGGCACGCCGGCACCCCGTCTTGCCGCCTCTCTTCCCAAATTCAGACTTTCCCTCTGCATTCTCCTAGCTCCGTGAACGGCTCCTTCTCTGTCTCTGGCTGTGAAACCTTTCACTCACCTCACCCCCTCCATGCCCCCTTTTCCATGCTTCCACCTGAAGCTCCTGCCTTCTCGCTGCCGCGGCCTTGTCGCCCTAGTCCGGCCTCCGCCCCTCAGTCCTTCCTCTGAGAAGTCACTACCCGTCGCCTCCAGGTTAAGCTTTATGCAGCAAAAGCTCGGGTAAGAGCCCCTCCATACAAAAGCTTCCCTCAAAGTTACGTAATAACCACCCTCCGGGGCGCCGGACACGTCTTACGGCTGCTTGACCCGCCCCCCCGCCCGCGCCCCGCCCCCCCCCGCCCGCGCCCCGCCCCCGCCAGCCCGCCAGGCTCCTCCCCTCCCAGCACTTAGCACCTCCTGCTTCTGACTTTGGCGTCTTCCTGCTTTGCTTTTCCCCCTTAATTTTCTCCTGGGTACACTTGACCGTTAGACCCACTACTTCTGAAACACCTTCTCTAATCTCGTATTCTTATCCAAAAGTAGTATTTTCTTCCTCTCATAATACCTTGCTGGGATCAGTCTCATGGCGTTTTACCGCTTTCTGCCTGGTGTCATAGTTACTTGTGTACCTGTCTCATTTCCCGCACTAGAGGTGAGCTTGTTAAGGGCAAGAATTATGTCTTGTTCATCTGTATATTCCTCATGGTGCGCACACAGTGCCTCGTACTTAGCAGGCGCTAAATAAACATTTATCAAAGCAAAGCAATGGTGGTTTTTGTTTTTAAAATTTAAGTGCTGATAAAATTACTGTGTCCGGAGTGCCCCATGAAAATGTTCCTTTTGCTAATGTGTAAGGGGACAGTTGGTGAGGAAACCTGCTGCCCCCTTCTCTTGCAGTGAGTCATCGTGGATGGTCACACTGTCATCCCAAGTCCTGGAAAGTCAGGCTGAGTTGGGTCTCTCTGGATGAGTTATCCAGAAGCATTTCTCTCTTTTTCTTTTTTATGACAGAGAGAGTGCAAGAGAGCACAAGCGGGGGGGCAGCAGGGAGAGGGAGAAGCAAGCTCCCCACTGAGCAGGGAGCCCGATTTGGGGCTCAATAACAGGACCCTGAGATCATGACCTGAGCCGAAGGCAGACGCCTAACCTACTGAGCCACCCAGGCGCCCCTCCAGAAACATTTCTTGAATAGGGGAATATATATCAGGGTGTATTGAATGGTAGGGACCAGGAAATCCTGATTCAGCTGGGTTTTAAGGAAAACTTGGCTCATACAAGAAGGCCTGAGGTGGGCTGGCTCCAGCTCACTTGCCTGTGCGGCCAGCGCACCATGACAGCCACACATACGAGACCGTGACACCCCACCCGAAGGAGAGGGCATCCCCTTTTGTGCATCTCATGACTTCGTTAGACTGAAAACCCTCCCCAGAAGCCTCTCAGCAGCCATCTGCTTGTGTCTCACTGGCTACTAGCCTCTCATCTGACTCGTGAAACCAGCAGTGACAAGGGACTGTGGACTGACGAGCCCATGGCATGGCTACACGGACGACCTGCTTTGGCAGGGGACGAGTGTGCCTGAGTGAGTGGCACAGTCGGAAGAATGTCTTACAGGGAAGTCGGGGTCGAGTTCTTTAATAAAACCCAAAATACTGTTCTAGAGCCGGGATGTAGTACTTGGATGTTGTTTATTCATTTTTTTGTACTTCCATTACTCATTCCTATTTATAATTAAGTGAATAAATTGTTGCTCTTATACTTTTTGTCTTTTCACTCTGGCCAATAAAGGGCATCTTTTTTATTTATTTATTTATTTATTTATTTATTTATTTGAGAGAGAGAAACAGCATGAGAGGGGAGAGGGTCTGAGGGAGAAGCAGGCTCCCCGCTGAGCCGGGAGCCCGATGTGGGACTCGATCCCAGGACCCTGGGATCATGACCTGAGCCGAAGGCAATCGCTTAACCAACTGAGCCACCCAGGCGCCCCAATAAAGGGCATCTTTTATAAATGCAATAATCCAGGATGTATTAAAGGGTGTCAGCTTAAATGAAATTCCAACATAATAGTTATTATTCCTTTAATGTAGCTCTGTTTCGCAAAAAAACGGGGGAGACAAATGGACTTTTGAGAAAGCTCAACATATCAAAACTGCTTTTCAGGAAGAGATCTCTATCAATTGTAAAAAATTAAGGGTGGGTCTTTAAAAACACTAAGCAATACACGGTAGGATCCATGACCCTATTAACAATGCAGCTTCTGGCACAATTTCAGCTTTTGAGATTTTTAACACTCCTTTTGTTGGAACTTTGAAATGAGGTGGGAAAACACACTGCTAGTGTTTGTCTTTAGTTGTGTATCTCTGTAATCTGTTTTCACCAGAGTGTAGTGTAGCCAACATTTTTCTCTTAGTAATCAGTATGTGTTGGGCATTAGTTTGAAAACATGGTGGTGTTTTTTTTTTTTAGGCTACATGCATTTCCAATTCAAAGTTGATGGAAATGCTAGATGTTTGCCTTATGTCGTAAATGCCTCAGACCTCATAAACCCTTTATCTAATTGTGTATGTCAGAACACTGCCATTGACAAAAGATGCCATTATCTTGCTGGCTTTCCTCTGCAGAATTCCATCCAAAGTGCTAGCCGTGTGGACAGCTAGCTGGCCTTGCTCCCTGCAGTGTGGAGCACATGGCTTCCTGCAGTGTCCCATTCCAGGTTCTGGTGGAATTCTGTCCGGACTACTGGAGTTGGACAGAAAATCAGGTCTTTGGTTTTCCCACCTTTTAAGGCTGTTTGTTCTTGTCCTTGATTGCTTGTAGTCATGCACTTTTATTTCAACCCAGGATAGTTTTCCTGCTGATATTAAACTCCAAGCGTCGTTTAGCTTGTAGACCGGTACCTCCATCTAGCCAAATCCTGTCTGTGACACAGTTCTGCCCAGGAGTCAGTTTAATCCCAGGTGATGCCTGACCTGGGTCAAAGAGAAACAAAGCCATTCTAACGGAGGGGTGAGGGCAGACTTGACTGCACTGGGGGTCCAATGTGAACTGAGCCAGTTCCCTGGAAAAAAAGGCTGGAGACTTTTTTAAAGGTTGGGGGTGCTAAGGGAAAGGCAGCGAGGGGTGTGATGGGGTTCGTCTGTGTGACAAGGCCATCTGGATTTGTGAGTTGGCGCTTCTCCCATCTTTATGATGGGAGGTGGTGGGGCATGTTGAAGCAAGGTAAGGTGCCCACCTGAACTAGGCCCTTCTCCTCCTGGATATTTATGTTTCGGAGACATCTTGGGTCCTTATGGAGATGGTTTCCGGTGGTAGTTTCACATCTCAAAGGGCAGCAGAAGGATTTATAATTGCCAGCTTTCTAAAAATAACTCTAGGAGGGGGTTCAGGGACCTATCTGCTCATCACCATGTTTTGGCCGAATCAAATACATTCTGCGAATGTGCAGCTTTCTCAGGTGGGCATTGTAAGGGGGTCTAGGGTCATCCTGGGTACGCGGCCTTACACTGCTAGAAGCTGTGCTGGAGTTTGGTCATGTCTCAGTGCAAGAGGTGTGGATGGGTCCTCACGAGCCAGAGGTCAGCAGTCCTGCCCCGCCCTGTCTTGTCTGCAAACTTGGTCTGCATTCCCATTTTATTCTATGGCATTTCCCCTGCAATTCTGCACACGGGGGTGGCAACACTGAATTGAAAAAAAAAAAAAAATTCATTCTTTTTTATCTGGTGCCTACACATTTGGGTATCAGAAAGTCTTGTTTTGATGTATGTTGCCCGCCAATACTAATCTGAGGAAGGTATAAAACCAAAAGGTAAGAGTGTTTAATTTGAAAGCTATTAGGGGCCAACACATTCCTCAATCAAAACAACAGGATGATTTATATATTTGTAATCAACTCATATTAAATTGATAAACACTTTAAAATGAGGTAGGTGGAATATTTTCTGAGATCAGGTGTCTACTACTTAAACCACTTTATTGATTTTAATACAGTTGACCCTTGAACAACACAGGTTTGAAAATGGGTCCATTTATACATAGATTTTTTATAGTTCGGTACTATAATGTATTTTTCTTATGATTTTACCATTTTTTCTCTAGCTTACTTTAAGAATATAGTATATAAATCATGCAACATACAAAATACGTGTTAATCAACATTTTGTGTCTCACTGTAAGGTGAGTAACCCCAGGTCAGTAAGGTTTCCAGTCAACAGTAGGCTATTAGTAGGTAAGTTTTTGGGGAATCAAGTTATAGGTGGATTTTCAACCGTGCGGGGGGGGGGGGGGGGTGCTATTGCCCCCAGATGCCCCTGCCCTGTTGTTCAAGGGTCAACTGTAGATCTAAAACTTTTAATGCAAAGTAACTAACTTCTTAGCCCTCTCATTCTTCAGTAGCCCCTAGAAACAAATATTTGTTACATGTTTACCTGATATATTTCAGGACAGGCAAAGAAGAAAATAAACCTGCGAACTAACACTGGCCCAGCGGGACACACAAGGTGCCCTTCCACAGATGTCACGTGAGGGAAACCTTAGTCTTCACAGCCTGTGAGGCAAGTCCCATCATCTGTGTCTCAAGGCTGAGCCTGAGGCACAGGGGAGTTAACCTGTCTCAGTACAGGGCAGTAAGAGGCCCGGCCGAGCCAGGGCTGGGAGCCGGCCCCCAGGGCACCTGGGCTCAGCAGGAGGGAGGAGGCACCTTCCCCTGGCTGCTGCACAGACCCCCGCCCACAGCTCCCTCACTGGAAGTTCACTCAAGTTCATTCTGGCGTAAAGGTTTTTGGTATTAAAACTTCCTGAATGAAAAGGTCTGAAAGTAGCTTGATATGTAATACCTACCAACGCCTAACTATGAATAAGACCTTGAAATCATGAATAATACTCATTTAAGTAAAGCACACTCTTGTTCAGAAACTCACAAGAACTGAAATACATTTTTAAAAGCCCCAAACTTTATTTACAAAACAGGTTCTTTTGTTTTACAAAAATTACAAAAAATGACTCTGAAAAATAGAAATAGCGTCTCAGACTCTTGGGAACTACTTTTCAGCAACCAAGGAGTTGGAACTCAGAAGGTTTTCTTCTTTCTAAGAGTTGTAACGGCAACATCTATGAATGCTTTATGTCTTCACAAGAAATCCCACGGCTCGGAGCTGCCTTTCCTCTGGCGGAAAGGGCTCCGGTCAGGCCAGAGTCTGAAGGAGCAAGATCTTCTCGTTGATGCAGAATCTGTGCAGCACGACCATCAAGTTCTCGCCACAGCGGGACACCTGGCGCTCCATGGCCAGGCGGAAGTCCTCCTTCACGCCCTTGGTGATGCCCCGAGTGACCGTGTGGTGCCTGAGGGCAGCGACAGGGAAACAGATGGACACCACTTAGCGCCGGCATCACTGGTCAGTGTTTCTGGGGCAGGAGTAAAACCTGACTGAAATCTAAGTTTAAGTAAAAAAAATTCAAAAAGGAAGAAAAGCCCTAACCAAACAATCCCCCTACCCGTTCCTTCTCAGAAAGACATAAAACTAGAGACATGTTTCCCACTCAGTAAAAGGCTATTTTAAACATCTAAACGTCTGGTGAAATGCCAGCTGCTTTGCTTCTGGACTCTTGCAGCTCTGACACTACGCATCCCTGTGCTGACCTGTGCACGGTTCTGTCACTTTGGGCCAACTGGGCCCAGTGCACACGGCCCCACAGTTCGTGTCCGGACAAGGCAGCCGAGTGCACAGGCAGCAGCAGGGAGGAGGGAAGCCAGAATGAGCCAGTCACACTGAGCTGGGGCCGGGGGCTCTGTGCTGAGGCTCAGAAAGGCCGGGGGCTTGTGCTGGGCCACTGGGGTTCCAAGTGCGTTGCTCCCCGGTGGAGCCGGAACAGGACAGCTCTGCTAAGTGCTGAGCCCATCCAGACTCACGTCTGTCTGAGAAGCAGCGGGGGGAGTTGGAGGTCCCAAGACAAGAGTCTGGCAGGGGTGGGGGGAGAGAGGCTGACTCCCTGAAGAACAGCCAGTGCCCTGCAAAAGCCTACTGGGGACCAGATGTGGTCCACGTGCTCAGGAGACGTGCACGTCCGTGGAAGGATCAGTGGGAGCACGAGAAAAGTTCTAGCTACACCCGAAAGCTGTGCTGTGGAGAAGGAGTTCACAAAGGAAATCCCAGAAAACTTAAGACGTCAAAATGAAGAAAGGAAAAGAAAAATCTAGCAAAACTCAATGGGTTGTTAAAAGGAAAGGAGTTTCAACTACCGGGTCAGTAGTTTAGTAGATTAGACCAATAGAAGGCACCTCCATTCCCCACCTTGACTGCCTAACTTCCCTCAGACACAGTAGCAGGGATTTAAAATTAGATTTTTATGTATTGGCCAAAACAAAACTGTCGAAACCACTCTAAAATGTTCCTGTTTTTGTTTTTGTTTTTAAACTTGTTTATTGTCATATAAAACAGTACAACAGAAGTCAAAAAGTTGCAGTGCAACAGAAGAGAAAACAAAACTCGGCTCTGTCAGACTAGCAAAGATACTACACGACAGTCTACAACGCCCACGGGCATTCGGACGAACTACGCCGACGGCAGCAGGGCCAGGGAGAAAACACAGTTCTCGGTGGATGTTTCTAGTGAAGTCGGCTGGTTAACTCAGTAATAAGGACGTGGCATCGGTGAGGCTGAGCCCATGAGGCCCACTGGGAAGAGGCGTAGACCCACTGAAGCCACCGAGATCCTGTTCTTCTGGGTCCCAGACTGCAACCCCTGATGGGAGCCAACCCTTGAGCAACGGAGAATTACTGGTATTTGCAGACAACTAGCTAAAGGGCTTTGAAAGCTCAAAGTAAACTTTTCCCTTCGTGCTAGTACAAATATAATAAAATGTCGTGTCCTGCTGATCATGGTTCAATGGTATTGTTTCTACAGATAAAGCAGTACAACTCCATTATATTTCTATCAGTTTCTATCCCTCTGGTGAGTTTGGATGAAGAAGAGCATTAGTTAGCTTCTGTGGTTAAGGACAGGAGAAATCAGCTAATAAATGCAGCATACCAAGTATTTTCAGTTTAGAAAGGGAAGGTCTGAAAAATCAGTAAATGCTGTGCTAAGGCCCGGTTAGACCAGAACATCCACACTGCTCACTAATATGACAATCCACGAACAAAATTTACTTAAAATGAGCTCCGGCATCCTTAAATATTTATGACTGAATGCCTTATGTTTTATCAAAAGAGAATCACAGTCTAGAGCCTAACCTACGGTGTGCTTAATCTACACGGTTTTATATAACTTTTTTTTTCCAGATCCATAATGATTTTTAAATCGAACACAAAAACACTGGCAACTTATGGAAAAAAAATAAGAAATGTTACAATATTACAACCAGATGGTTTGCCAAGGAATGCAGAACAAATTAAAAAAATAAATAAAGCATGAAAAAGAGCACTGAGGAACAGAGAGCTGGAAACCATGGGCAGTACGACATGTTGACAAAACGGCACACTATGAGCAGGTGTTTTTCCACGTGGTACCTGTCAGCAGTCTGTATGCTGGGCTGAAGCACAGGTAAGAATTCCTGCTGCAGTAACCCCATGGGAGGGCTAGAAGGCCTTTAAAAAACAGCAAACAGCAGCATTCAAACACCCACACCGACTCACCCTGCACTGCAAAAACAACACGCCAGAGAAAATGCACAAGACTGGAACAGACTATGCAGCAACCCTTGAACCTCCACGGGCCCCCGGCCTCAGCGGTGTCTTTCGGGAGGATGGGAGAAGCTAGCAGTCCTCTCCCTGCACCTGCTGCTGGGGCACGTCCAGAGCATCTTGTTCCTGGGCCCCGAGCTCAGGCCACTCGAGATTTGGTGTAAAAGCAACCACCAAGGAAGAGGATGACGAGACGCAATTGAACAGCAGTGCGGAGAGGGGGTCACACTTGAGAAGACACATTTTTGAATCCAGCCTCCTTCACTCTCCATTCTGCTCATGCCCCCGCCAATCCCAGAGATAAACTTGTGGGCTTTTGATAACTATCTTTGCCAGGATTGAAGCCCCGAACTGAAGAGGCCCTTCCAGGACGACTAGAGGGGCTGGGAATGTTTTTGATCAAGAAAGGTTGAGCCTGAATTTCAAAAAGTACTGAGAAAAAGGAACAGATGGGGGGGGAGGGGAGGGAAGAAGTCTGGGACCCATGGCTTTACAGAATTCGAAACAAAGATTTGTGCACAGGACATGGTTTTTCCATTTTCACCCAGTCTAATGCAACTATGGTACTGCAAATATCGGCAAAGAAATAGTTCTCTATTTAAAAATACATCAGGACAAAGCGTCTTTGTTCTGTTGGTCAGGGCCCGGGCGCCCTCAGGTTGGGACCCGCTAGCATCCGAGCAGACCAGACGGACTCACAACCTTACCCAAGGGGAGGGCTGTGCACTGCTCACAACACCTCTGCCACTCGGCTGGAGGCACCACCCAAAAGGTCTGCGATGGCGTCAGAGCATTTGTTTGGAACCCAAAGGGAAAAGGAATATAGATAGTTTTACTCAAGATTCTAGTCCTACCCCCTTAGTAAGAGCTCTCTGGCTTTATGCAGCTTGCTTCTCCCGCTGGTTAGGCATAAGTAATCTGAAATGCAGGCTTCAACTGAACTTTGAGACTCGCACGGTGAAGACTGGGCAAATTTCTAGAAGGTCAGCTCCCTACATAACAGTCCCTATTCTTGCTTCCAAACAGATAGAACAGCAGGTTTCCTAAGAGGCTTACTGGTCTTCTACAGGGTGTTAAAAGACATTAAAGTTTATACTGACCAAGGTGGGAGAGCCTGGAATTCTCTCCAAAGTCTTTAGAAATGCATGCTGTGTATCCCTGCCTTGCCCTAAACAACTCTTTACAGTGATATTATCTGGGTGTCCGAGAGCGCCTGCTTTCATCCCTTGTCCCAGAGGTTGTCTGCATGAAACCATGTCACTGTTGGGCTTGATACAAACTGGCTACAGAAGAAAGGTTCAGTATAATGAAGTTCGAGATCCAACTGTTGATTTTTAACAGTCCATTCACTCATATTTCCACAGTTAAGCACTATCTGAAGTGAGATATCATCTATAAGCTTAACCCTAAGCAAATGTAGTTGATTCTAAGGCTGTTCCTATATTATGATAATTTGTACAGTAAACGTTAATGTGAATTAACTAAAAAGTTATTAATATTAGGTATGTTTTATATATGCAGCCTCAAAACCTAGAAATCTTTTATTGTTAAGCCCACAAAAGGGGTTACCTAAGTTCCCATATCAACAAGTCATCTTTGTTCTCGACCACTGTTAAGAATATTTTTACCATGCAATTATTTGGCCCCTAGTTTTTATTTGCAGTCTTAGGGAAGGGAATGGAGATGGGAAGATGAGCATGTCCAGCCCATCTTGCCTAAGCCACCTAATGCATAAAGGTCTCGTGTTTTCAAAAAACAGCACTTGTTCTTTTAATTTAGACGTTTAGAATATCCATTAATACTATTTACAAGACAAAGGACAAAAACCCCACTTAATCTTCCCATTCTTTAGAATGGATTCCCTAAGACCCTCTTCTCGATAGGAGTAAAGTAATGTTTGCGATTACACATATCCACAATGCACATCTCATGCTTCCCTCTCAACATTTCTAAGGCTCTACAAAGACAGAAGGTGTGGATTTTTGCTCTCAACAACTGAAAACTCATTCATTTTGCAATTGAGAGAAAAAGGACAAGGTTTTCAGCCTTAGCAACACTCCCTTCTCACTCGGGGCTCAGTCTCTTGCAGTGACTCTGACTAACGGCCATGCTGAGTCTCCAGGACGCAAAGGAGGAAGTATGAAAATAAAGCTACACGTGGCATTAACAGCACAGAGGATCTATTACCCAAACTACAATGAGTACTGAAGGATAGAAGCAAGATTTATGAGCTATTTAAAAATCATAAATGGTCATTAACTTCATCTAGGTGTGGGAGGGCACTGCCCGAGAGCAGGCCCCCCACCACCATTTCTTGGGGCAGGGGTGTTTTTCTTAGAGGCACTAGACCCGGCTAGTTTCCCTTGCACTGTGCAAGCAATGACTGCTTGGGAAGCCTTCAAATAAATACTAAAATCCAAGTACAGTTTATAAATAAAGTCTGTAGCTTTTCCTAATCCATTACAACTTTAATTAAGCATGGCTCTTTCTTAATTAAAAACATTTATGTCTCACCAAAAATTTATAGGATTAGCCTGTAAATTTTGGAAAGGAAAAGATACCACGAATGAGACTTCCGTTTAGTGAAAAGGTTTCAAAAGTGACAGAAATATCCCAATTTAAACAATCTTTATCAGAAATGTAGTTAAGGAAACACCAAATTTCAAAAGGTACCCAGAATCAAATCTACTCTCAAAAACAGGGGCCAGGTTTGGATTCCTTTCTATGAAGCTTCTCAAAGCTACAGAAACTTACAAATATTTCCTACAAGCACATGAAAGGTGAGCACTTAGCATGGGGACAGCAAGACAGCATACTTACTTGATCAGCATTCCTTGATTGGGCAGTAATTCCAGATGAATTTTCCCACCTTCCTGAGTTCTTAAGTAGGCGAATTCCTCCAGCATATCGATATCTACAGGCCAGATTCAGGTTAACCACGTGCAGAAACAAGGTGCCCTGCTCTCTCGGAGGAGGACCGGGCTGGCAGGGACCGAGTGACTTGCCCAAGGCCACCACGCTAACCAGAGTCAGTACCGGAACCCAGGCCGGTCTGATTCCCAAACTGACGATTCTTGTACCAACCGGACCACCTCGTAAAGATAAATATGTTTCTCCTACAGATGCTAATTAAACAGATTCTATATGATCATAACAGCAAAATCTTTTGTTTTCTTAGTAAGAAATGAAAGAGGCAGTGGGGGTGCTGGATCCCCGGAAACGGCGCTTGGACAAGGGCAGCACGTTCCTCACAAGTCGAAGGTGGTCTTTCCCTAACAACAGTGTGAAACACGACACTCCCTACGGCCGAAAGCAGCTGCTGGGCCGGGCCGCACGTGTGGTGGGTTCTCAGTGGCAGTTGTAACAGCTGTGACACGGTGCTCTAACAGCTGACCCCGGGGGACAGCCAGTGCCCCCAGGAGAGGCCCCACGAGGCCCTGTGCTGACAGATGAAGGCCCATGAACTATTCTATTCTCTGGCCTCACCAGTTGCTCTGGGCCTCTCGGGAACCTGAAGGCTATTGATGTGGGCATCTCGGGTACCTGCCTAGAAGTGGATGGAGGTGCGAAGTGGAGCTGAGCTGACTGGTATTCCTGATTCCGTGCATCACCTCTGTGAAGTCTTTTAGGACTCTCATTGAGAACAGCTGCCACAGGCCCATTTTTAATCGTCATTCTTCCTCTCTTCCCCCCAAATACTGAAAACCAGTATTTCTACCTGGAATGATTCATTCACTCTTGTACCATGCATTTATTCTTTAAAAAAAAAAAAAAAAAAGTCAGAATTTCTTATGCTCACACAGGAAAAAGGATACTTGTAACATAGTTGAAAAAATTCTCGTATTGGAAATTTCCTTGTTGGCAAATCTTACTGACAGCTTTCAAGAAAAGATTCTCTCCCCGTGGCCACTCTTGCTGAAGCAAGACAATCACGTGGCCCAGCGCCATGTCGTCCCTGCTGTCCGCGAAAGCTCGGAGCTGCAAGACAAGGATTTGTGCAGACATGGAAGGAAAAGGAAATCATGGGGTGATCTTAAATATACCAAATAGCACTTCCTGAAAAAATGCCGCTATATGAAAATGTCTGATCTAGGGAACAAGCAGAACATACACCTGCCACGCAAACAACACGACTGCCTTCTGAGGAGGGTGGGTCCCAACCACAGAAGCCTGGCTTCCCTCTGTGCTGGGAACAAGGTCACTGAGCATCCTGACGGGAGCTGGACACGCCTGGCAGGCCTGAAGCTCGACTTTGGGAAAAGGGCGAGAGAAGCTGAGTGGTTCTGTATGGCAGAGAGAAGGATTTGGGGATTTCTTTGAAGGGGGCAGTTGCTGGTAGACGGTGGGCCAGAAGGCGAGTAGGAGAGAAGGGTTTGAGGAGAACATGGACTGGGGAGCAGAAAGGCAGCGAGCAACAAGGAAGTGGCAGTGTGAAATGCAGAACCGGCCCAAGGACTAAATGAGCAGCTAGGCCCCAAATCACACTTCAAATTGTTTCTGTTGCCCCAAGGGATTCTGGCAATGAGTGAAGTCTGGGAATTACAGCCCTAAAACAGAGACCCAGTACTGCTGTTCTCTTGCTCACAAACCTTGGTGAAATGCACACTAAGGCTCTGCTCCACCTGCGGCCAAGGGCCTGGTGTTCTTCCAACAGCCTGTAAACCTTCCCAGCTCTGCTGGTGTTCATCTTAAAGCCTGAAATGCTTTCACCCCCCGCCCCACCTCACCCCAACCCCCCACCCCGTCTTTAGGATAACAAACTCGCCATCCCTCTATGAACCCAAGGGCATTTGTAATCTCTTCTTCTAGCTAATATATTCTGATATACGTTAATTCATAACATCTTTACTGACCATCTCTACGGGCAGGTTATTTGGATAACTGTCACGCTTATTGGTAAACTGCTCGAGGATGGGGATCATTTCCTACTCATTTGTGCCTAGTGCAGTCCACAGTTGGTGTCTGGTCATCGCTAGCCCATGTGCTCTCCCCACGACACCAAGTCACTCCAGATCACCAGAACAGTGTTCCAAATTGAACTGCGTTCATGCTAATCGGCTTTCAGCTTACCTTAAAGCAAGCCAGCATCAGATGCAGGCAGAACGGCATGATAGCCTTGCTGGTACAAGGCAGCAACTTCAGGTCTGAACCTGTGGGCAAGAGTCCACAATATGTCTGTTATGAGCACAGAAAACAGCTTTGAAAAGCACATATTTAAGATGCTTTCCAAAAAAAAAGATAAGCAACAGTCACATGGTTTCAAATATAGTTAAACCACGATTATATTTAGTGATGGTGAAATTGGTTTTTGAATGATCTCTGGATTTCATTTATCAATCTTCTTTCCTAACCTTGCTTAAATACTTTTTATTACAAAACCTTTCAAATGTAGAAACAAACACAGGTGTTTGTAATACTGTGCTCAACACTCAGCTGTCTAAAATGTTAACTTTTTGCTTTAAAGATTTTAATATAAAGTATCACAAATTTAGTTGAAACCTCTTGTGCACCTTGTCAGCTGCCCTCTTCCCTTCTCCCTAAAGTAACTATTATCCTGAAGGTGCTGTTTTTCATTCCTCTGCAACAACAGGAAAGTTTTGCAAGTTTTCAGTCTACTACATAAAGGGTGTCATATGGTATGCATCCTTCTGCAAACTGTTTTTGATACTAATACTATAGCTCTCGTTCATTGATTTTCAATGTCTATACAGTACTCTGCTATTTACATATGTCACAATTCATTTATCCATTCTTTTATGGTGGGCAGTGAGATGTCCAATTTTTCACTATTACAAACAATGCTAAAATAAACATTCTTATATATATTTTCTTGTGCACTTGTGGGAAAGAAACTTCAGGCAATAGTTTTCAGACCAAGACCTTAATCCTTTCCTTTATGGTGTGTGCTCTTTATAACCTAAATCCTTCTCTTCCCTGAGGATGAAATTAGCAAGAAATCATGGAGATCCTGTATATACCTATTTACATATGTTTATGTATCTAAAACAAAAGGTTCATGAAATACAATTTACCCTTTTTACAGGAGATGAACTCATTTTAGTAATAATATTATATTCTATCTCATTAAAAGAAGAAAATGGTTGAAATTCATTACCTGGGGGGGTGAGGACCCACGTTTGAAAAGCACTGATCTAAGGGATTTAACTAGAAGAGGTATGTAACTAGGTAATGAGATGTTCAACCTGGAATAGCTAAACTGGTCTCCACAGTGATGGTATGAGTTTATACACCTTCCAGAAGGAGATGGGCAATGTGTGTCTTCACATCTGACAGTACTGCCACTGTGAATTCTGACATGTCTGATATGGTAGCTTACGGTTTTAATCTGTATTTCCCATATTGCTAATAGGTTGAGAATCCTTTCAAACAGTTTATGGTCATTTGGATTTCTGCTTCTGTGAATCTGTTGTTCATATTCTTTGCTTGTTTTTCTATGAGGGGTTGGCTGGTTGTTTCTTACTGGTTTGAAGAAGCTCTTTCAAAATTTTGATTCTATGTGCTGGATAACTTTCTTGCAGCCTAAGGCTTATCCTGTCACTTTGATCACAGTATCTTTTGTTGGTATTTTAATTTTAATGTGACTAAATTTACTAATCTTTTCCTTTCTGTTGTGTGCTTTTTGTAGCCTAAATCCTTCTCTACTTAGAAGACCCAAATAATCTTTTCTTCTAAAAGCTTGAAAGTTTTACTTTCCATTTTTATTTTTTTTTTTTTTAAAGATTTATTTATTTATTTGAGAGAGCGAGAAAGTACATGAGAGGGGGGAGGGTTAGAGGGAGAAGCAGGCTCCTCGCCGAGCAGGGAGCCCGATGTGGGACTCGATCCAGGGACTCCAGGATCATGACCTGAGCCAAAGGCAGTCGCTCAACCAACTGAGCCACCCAGGCGCCCTACTTTCCATTTTTAATCTTAAAATTTAAATAATTATTTTGCAGTGTGAAGGAGGGATCACATTTTTGCTGTTTTTAGATTTGGATTGATTGCCCCAGTACCACTTATTGGGTAAACTCATGCTTGGCCCACCGAATTGTAATACCACCTGTTTCTTGGTTCTCTATTCTGTTCCATCCATCAGTCTCTATGCCAACACTACAGTATCTCTATTACTATAGCTTTAAAGTAAGTCTTGAAGTCAGCTAGGTCCAACCTTAACCTACCTGATTTGCTTCTGTTTCACAGACACACTTTCTAAAGGGGTCTGGGCTATCCCTTTTTTTTTTTAAAACCTCCCACGTACCTTAAACAGCTTCAATAATGATCAAGACTATCATGCTTTTGTCTTCTAGGAAATTTTAGTGTCCTAATAAATCTACCTACCAGTCACAAAGACCTTCTCTTTTTTTTTTTTTTAAATAAAAATGTTTATTTGAAATTATGTATTATGCCACATAGTTTACTTTTCTGTTACAAATTATTTATTATTTAAATTCAATTAGTCAACATACAGTACATCATTAGTTTCAGATGTAGTGTTCAATGATTAATCAGGTGCCTATAACAGCCAGTGCTCATCACATCACATGCCCTCCTTAATGCCCATTGCCCTGTTATTCCATCCCCCCACCCACCGCCACTCCAGCAACTCTGTTTGTTTCCTATACTTAAGAGTCTCTCATGGATTTTCTCCCTCTCTGAAGACTTCCCATTCAGTTTTCCCTCCCTTCCCCTATGATCCTCTGCACTCTTATATTCCACTTATGAGTGAAACCATATGACAATTGTCTCTGACTTCTTTCGCTCAGCATCATACCCTCCAGTTCCATCTATGTCGATGTAAATGGTAAGTATTAATCCTTTCTGATGGCTGAGTAATATTCCATTGTATATATGAACCACATCTTCTTTATCCATTCATTTGTCAATGGACAAAATAGTTTGGCTATTGTGGACATTGCTGCTATAAACATTGGGGTGCACGTGCCTCTTTGGATCACTACATCTGTATCTCTGGGGTAAATACCTAGTAGTGCAATTGCTGGGTCAGAGGGTAGTTCTTTAACTTTTTGAGGAACCTCCATACCGTTTTCCAGAGTGGCTGCACCAGCTTGCATTCCCACCAACAGCGTAAAACGGTTTCCCTTTCTCTGCATCCTCGCCAACATCTGTTGTTTTCTAACTTAATTTTAGCCATTCTGAATGGTGTGAGGTGGTATCTCATTGTGGTTTTGATTTGTATTTCCCTGATGCTCAGGCATGTGGAGCATATTTTCATGTGTCTGTTGGCCATTTGTATGTCTTCTGTGGAGAAAAATGTCTGTTCACATCTTCTGCCCATTTCTTGACTGGATTGCTTTTTGGGTGCTGAATTTGGTAAGTTCTTTATAGAGCTTGGATACTAGCCCTTTACGTTATGTCATTTGCAAATATCTTCTCCCATTCAGTAGGTTGCCTCTTATTTTGTTGACTGTTTCCTCTGCTGTGCAGAAGCTTTTTATCTTGATGAAGTCCTAATAGTTCATTTTTGCTTTTGTTTCCCTTGCCTTTGGAGACGTGTCAAGCAAGAAGTTGCTGTGGCTGAGGTCGAAGAGGTTACTGTCTGTGTTCTCTCCCCAAAGATTTTGATGGATTCCTGTCTCACATTTAGGTCTTTCATCCATTTTGAGTTTATCCTTAGGTATGGTGTAAGAAAATGGTGCAGTTTCATTCTTCTGCATGTTGCTGTCCAGTTTTCCCAACACCATTTGTTGAAAAGATTGTCCTTTTTCCATTGGATATTCTTTCCTGCTTTGTTGAAGATTAGTTGACCAGAGAGTTGAGAGTCAACCAGAGAGCTGACCAGAGAGTTCCATTTCTGGGCTCTCTATTCTGTTCCATTGATCTATGTGTCTGTTTTTGTGCCAGTACCATACTGTCTTGATGATGACAGCTTTGTAATAGAGCCTGAAGTCTGGCACTGTGATGCCACCAGTTTTGGTTTTCTTTTGCAACACTCCTCTGGCTATCCCGGGTCTTTTCTGGTTCCATACAAACTTTAGGATTGTTTGTTCCAGCTCTGTGAAAAATGTGAATGGTATTTTAACAGGAATTGCACTGAATGTGTAGATTGCTCTGGGTAGCATAAACATTTCAACAATATTTATTCTTCCAATCCATGAGAATGGAAGTTTTTCCATTTCTTTATGTCTTCCTCAATTTCTTTCGTAAGTGTTCTGTAGTTTTTAGAGTACAGATCCTTTACCTCTTTGGTTAGGCTTATTCCTAGGTATCTTATGGTTTTTGGTGCAATTGTAAATGGCATTGATTCCTTAAATTCTTTCTTTTATCTCACTGTTAGTGTATAGAAATGCAACTGACTTTTGTCCATTGATTTCATATCCTGCCACGGTGAATTCCTGTATGAGTTCTAGCAATTTTGGGGTGGAGTCTTTTGGGTTTTCCACATGAACTATCATGTCATCTGTAAAAAGAGATAGTTTGACTTCTTCTTTGACAATCTGAATGCCTTTTCTTTCTTTTTGTTGTCTGATTGTTGAGGTTAGGACTTCTAGTACTATGCTGAACAACTGATGAGAGTGGGCATCCCTGTCGTGTTCCTGACCTTAGGGGAAAAGCTCTCATTTTTTCCCCATTGAGAATGATATTCACTGTGGGCTTTTTGTAAATGGCTTTTATGATATTGAGGTATGTTCCCTCTATCCCTACACTGTGGAGAGTTTTAATCAAGAAAGGATGCTGTATTTTGTCAAATGCTTTTTCTGCATTAATTGAGAGGATCATATGGTTCTTGTCCTTCTTTTATGAATGTGATGTATCATGTTATTGATGTGAATGTTGAACCAGCCTCGCAGCCCAGGAATAAATCCTACTTGGTCGTGGTGAATAATCCTTTTAATGTACTGTTGGATCCTACTGGCTAGGATCTTGGTGAGAATTTTGGCATCCAATTTCATCAGGGAAATTGGTCTGTAGTTCTCCTTTTTGGTGGGGTCTTTGTCTGGTTTTGGGATCAAGGTAATGCTGGCCTCACAGAACGAGTTTGGAAGTTTTCCTTACTTTTTTTTTTTTTAAATAGCTTCAGAAGAATAGGTATTAGTTCTTCCTTCAATGTTTGGTAGAATTCCCCTAGGAAGCCATCCGGCCCCGGACTCTTGTTTGTTGGGAGATTTTTGATTACTGCTTCAATTTCCTT